TTTTTTTTTTTTTTTTTTTAAATGTTCATGATTTACTGTTCGGTTCTTAAAATATCCTTAACTTAAAATGTTCATAAAATCCTGATCATAAAAACCAAATCATAATGTCATTAAAATTCTTACGCTGTAACCAGTTTAAATGTTCTTGCAATGTTCAGAGTGCTACTTAATACAGCTTTCTGCATTCTCAGCAATATTTCTTTGTATCTTGTACAAAAAGAAGCCCTTCATTTCAGTTTCCATGGCTTTAGACCATCCTCCATCCTTGTTCTGTCAGCTCAAGTCTAAGTGCTCCATACTTCTTGGTCTTTTCTCTGTCTTTCTTGTCTCTGTTGTTGATCCAAGGGCAGCTCATTTGCACCATAAGTACCTTCTTGTTTTTGTGGTCGATGAAACGATTATTATTATTATTATTGTTATTATTATTATTATACAGAGCCTTAATGCTGTACCAATTTTCATTTGCAAGAGAAATGATTCAACTTGAATCATTCTTCCGCGTTATAAAAACAAAATTTGATCGCTATTGTTAAGATCACTTTTAAATGTAAGATCATTGAACGTTTTTTGACATTATACGTTTTGGTTCTGAGGTAGCTGAAAGAAATCTTGACAGTATGTTAGCCAGTATTTAGCGATGTCGGCGGAGAACAGGATATTGCTATGCAACATATTGTTTTTACTTCCAAAAAAGCACTCATAGCTTAGCTGGTTATGAACATCAAAGTTTTAGACTACGTCCTTCGCGCTAAAATGGCAACTTCCAATGGAACTACAAGCCAGTGATATTCAACTCCCTTCCTCTTCAAAAGAGCAAACGAAATCTACAAGTTGTCAAAAATTTTTATTGTTTATTTACTTTTCATTTGCTGGTACCCGTTGAGAATTGACCAAGCTAATCGATAGTGTCATGTATAGTGGTAGTTTGTTGTTTTTCTACGTTTAGTTCAGCTCAAGTTGAAGATCATTCTCTAAGCGCATAAGACGCTGATGGGAATTAGGGATCACTGAACGTTCGGAACTTATAATGGAAGTTCGTTGACTAAAATTGTAAAAATATCCGAAATTCAACAAGGCACTTCTAAGCGCTTCTGAACGTCACCTTTCCTGACAAAGATATTTCCAGCCAACCTTTTCTTAATCCATAAGAACCAAGGGTGAAACGAAAGTGATATTTTTAATAGTAAGAAAAACAAATTAAGTGGCTCTCCATTCTACCCATAAAGTTCAGTGTTACTTTTTTGTTTGATCCCCGTGCTCCGAATGGACAGCGTCCCATCCGTGTATTACAAAACACGATTACGTGATACTCTATTGTACTGGTACATAATTTATAAACTGTCGAGTTGATACGACGGATCGGGAAGGTCATCTTGGGGTATTAGGGAAGTTACTGAAATATCACAAAGCCCCAGAATCGATCACATAAATGGGGCGCGATATTTCAAGAAAGAAACGGAGCGCTGAAGGATCCCAAATGAAGGAGAGTGTGTCCCATTGGGGCTGTGGGGCACGGTGTATGGGTATCCTTGGTGTTTTGACAGTCATTTTAGTGGTGGCCGTGGTTCATGTGGCAACCAGCGACGAGCGCAAAACGTATTTTGATGAACTTGTGAGTACAGGGGGTGCCATACGTTCAGCGCGCAGTGTAAACTCTGTATCCGACCACGAATCGATGGAAATTTGCCATAGTAAAGAATGCAAGAAAGTAGCCAAGCATATAAATGCGTCCATGGATTACTCCAAAGATCCATGTGTAGATTTTTTTGATTATGTGTGCGGAGGCTGGATCGAGGCTAACCCTATTCCGCGCAGTTCGTCCACCTATTCCACGTTTGCTAAACTGAATGGTCGCGTTGAACGCAATGTAAGGCATATCTTAGAAAAGGGCATCACATCTTCGAGCAAAAAATTGTTCCAATTGCCGAAGAATTTCTTCAAGTCGTGCATGGATTTGAAAACTATTGACAGCTTGGGGGACAAACCAATTCGTGATCTGATCAAGGACATCGGCTCCTGGAGTATCGATGCCAAGTCAAGATGGAATGAAGATGACTGGGATTTGCAGAAAACCCTGTTGTTCATCCACAAAAGCTACACATCCGCCGGCGGGCCGTTGTTTTCCGTTCATATTAGTGATGATCCTATAAACAACACCAGGCACATAATTGAGGTGAGAACCATTTAATGGGAAACCTGGTGTGAGTACTAAAAATGTAATGATACTTTTTTTTTAACTCTTCGTGCATTTCCCATCCCGCCATTGACATCTTACATTTAAATCTTTGCGAATTTGATAATCATCAACCATCAAAGAAAAGTGATTTTACGCTTTTCAGATTCATTAGAAGGGCATCATTGATTGTCGAGAGAACTCATGGTTTTATTCACAGGAAAATTTCTTACAGGCAGCATTGATTTTATTTTTATTCTTTAACAAACGGTAATGATTCGACACCCAGATAGAAAGACAGCGAACGGGTGGGCGGATTGATAACGAAACACATGTAGGTAGATCATGTAAAAGTTTCGAAATTTTGTCAAGGTGAACTAACAGTTATGCCATTGTTCTGAACGTCTGTCATCTATACCAACATAAATCTATTGTGACAAGCGTTTGAGAGGACGTTCTTGACCTGCTGAGTTACACCAGGTTGCGTAGCACTTGCTTGGTTTACCTGTTGTAGAGAAATCATCTTGGCAGCTTCCAAACGTTCGCGTCACTTTATCAAAATTGACATTCTAACCAAATTAAGTCCCCATAGAGGTATGTCCAGTTCAGTGACCTTACAATGATCGTAAAGGCCTTTTTCACAACATTAGTGGCAACAGATTATCAACATGTTTATCCTCTTTTAAATTTACGATCACTGTGCGAGCGGGAAATTTGAATGTTCGACGAGAGGTAGATGTTAAAGAGAATATTTCCTCCGAGGTGGGACTGTTGTAAATTCTATCACAGCGCAAATACTTACCCTGAGGCATTGCATAGGAAAACTATCGTCACACATGTATTTAACTAAATTGCACCACAAAAAGGTAAATTTCCTTTTTGTGGTGCAATTTGGTTAATGGCGATGATTGTCTATTAAGCCGGGCCCAATAAAGTTGCAAAAGCGCCTGATGGAAGTGAAATTGAATTTTAACTAAATTTTACAATAAGATAGATGATTTCTGCAGCAGTTAATTCTGATTCTTGCTCGCCGAGGCATTTACGCAATAAATCATTTCATCTTAACCGGAGTAAAATATGAGACGAGATTAGAACCAATATAACCTAGAATGTCTTTTCAACATCTCATCAAAGCTATAACGAGAATTTTAAAATTTCAGCTACGGATTCCAGCGAAGAATAAAAGGTCAAATTGCAGAAATCTATTCTAGATTCATTGCACTTTTGTAGTGTTATTATTTGTTGACAACAATCGAAAGCGTTTCTTCCTTGTTCCTCTTTTGAACAGGCATTGAAAGAAATGAGTCTCGCTATGCCCTCTTGAAAAATGGACATTTAGCTTCTATTTCATTTATTTTTCCACAGTAATAAAACATATTTCGCGTAAAGTTCTGATGATTTTCTCTTGGAAAGTTTCCAAGGACTTTCCATTCACCTTTTTGTAGTTGTTTATTTTTTCATGCGCTGAGCTACGACATCTTGCTTAATTACCACCAGATAGATCAGTCCGGACCCAGTCTCTCCAGAGAGGTGTACTTCGATAGTCCAAAGGTAACATGAGATATTCAGATATTGGACTTTACAAGGAAAGCATGATATGCGATATGCGGAGCAAAAATGACAGGAAACTATAGAGGAAACCTGCATTTTACCATCTACCAACGTTTCTTCTACCAACCGATTGATTATTTTGGGAGACCAGAGAGAAAATGCTTAGTTTGATCATACTAGTTATGTCAGGGTTTTGTTTGAGGACTGTACACCATGTTGCATAGTACGGCAAACTGCCAAAGAACCCTAATAATTTGTTGAGGGTAGGAGAACGAAAAAATGAAGGGGGTCGTAAAATAGACAACTTCTCGTGCAAACTAGCTTACGTAGGTGTCGTTTAGGTTTTTCCTTTAAGCCTGCCGGGGATCGCGGGCATGGCTAGAAAGAGCAAAAAGAAGCTAGAAAGAATTGCGTGAAAAATTGGCTCCAAAGGTAACAAGGGCCACGTTGCACAGTCTGTTAATTTGACCTTCTCTTGTTCTAACGTGATGTTTTCTCTAATCAAGATTATGAAGGCCTACAAGCAGTTTATTACAACAGTCGGGAAACTGCTGGGTGGCGATGACCAAATGGAGAAAAGAGCTGAAGAGATCGTAGCCCTTGAAAAGAAATTGGCAAAGGTCAGATTGCTAGCCGCACAATTTTCATTATAATGATGATGATAATAATAATAATAATAATAATAATAATAATAATAATAACAACTTTATTTAAGGAGGGTAACACATAACAGTAATTCAACTGATGAACTGGTGGCCCTCGATCCTAAAGGTATCATAATTAAGGTTAAAATGTATAAAATGTATGTAAAATGAATTCGAGGATTATAAACAGGTCTATAAGAATACAAGCTAAAAACTATATAAAATAAGATATGCCACATGGGTCGGGTTAAAATACAATACTGATGCCGCTTGGGTCGCCTCGGTTTCGCGATTGAAACAAGAGAAGGAGATTTTTTTTACTATCGCATTCGGATTAAAATGTTCTATTTCATCGTAGCTCCTTAGGAAATGTCTGTGAAGGGCCTTTCTGAAAGAAGCAACTGTTGTCGCCTCTTTTTTAGGTTAACAAGTAGCTGGTTCTACAGCCTTGTCGCAGATACGCTGAAGGTCCTCCCTCCCTCGGTTTCGCGATTGAAACTAGGGCAGGCGAGGTTTAATTTCGTATAACGACCAATTCGTGAGTGTAGGTCTGCATTAAATTTAAGTATATCGTACATATATGCAGGACAGCTTCCTAGTAAACACTTGAAAACTAAAACGCTCTTATTTAACTTGACTTCGTCATAAAAAAGGAAGCCACTCTAATTTCTTAAAGAGTTTCACGCTTTTTGATTCAAAGCTTATGAATATCTTAGACAGATGAAGCACTCTGACATTCATTCACTGTGTTCTTCAGATAAGTGTCCCTGATGCAGACAAGACTGACACGTGGTTCAACCGAATGACTATTGGTAAACTGAAAAAAGAAGCACCCGGGGTAAGGAAAAGAGGATCAGATGATATCTTTTTAGATTTTTTGCTGGGAATATATCTATTACGGTTGTGTCCCTTGAAAAATTGATCGGGGGTCAAAATTTGAAGTCCACCAGTTTGCAAAAGACTGAGGCCTACGAATGAAACTGGAGAACCTGCATCGCTCTAATTCCCTAAGGGGGTGTACCTACGAAAATCTTACGTTTGGGGGAGGACCGAATGAAGTGCAAAACATTGTTTAAGTCATTCAGAAATCTAGAATTTACTGTAAAAGTCGCTGATGGCAAACTTTTCATCTGAACTTAAAATTTAAACAGCTTCAGTAATAATCTTCGGTGTGTTTTATTATTCACTAATGTTTATGTTTACAGTATCCCTGGATGAAACATTTATCTTCCATCTTTACCAACGAAACGTTGAAGTATAACGAGGAGATAATAGTTCCAGCGCTTCCTTATCTGCAGAATATGACAAGAATTATCAAAGAGACTCCTAAGAGGTGAGACGTCCCTGTCAAAAACAATTGACAAATTTTTTATTTAGGTGATGGCATTATAATGCTATGGTAAGGGACCGGTCATTATATGTTGCCTGGGAGGGGTTAGAAGATCTTGGTTGCGTCACGATAAAATTGATCTCATCCTCGCTAAGGCTCTGTAATGTTCTTATGACCTTCCTTCTTTGGAAGTTAATTGATGGTCAATTTTGTATAGTCCTCACTTTTTACTCTATTGACGACCACTGATTCCCCTCCGTTTCTCTCCGAAAAAAAAAAAAACATGTGATTCCCCCAAAATCCTCGGACCCTCCCCTCCCCGCCAACCCAGGCAAAAAGAAATGGCTGCCTGGTCCTTAAATCTACATCAAGAGCAAAATTTGAATCTATTCGCCTAAACCCTAGTTCTTCACTCAATTGTTCAACTATTCGTTGACTGTAAGACTGGTACCCAGTATTATAGGGGTAGCTACCAAGCCTAGGCGCGGTGGCCAAGCGTAAGTTCACGTGTAACGATGTTTAATTGCAAGTGCTGGTTTTGTCCGTATTAGAAGCCGTTTCTTTTTAAAGGTTTATTCTCTTGCTCTTTACATTAAATAGATAGTAATGCTCCATAAAATAACCATTGTGTCACGAATGTCAGATCCTATTACTAAGGAAGGTTTCACTGTTTTGTTCTCTCCCTTTTTTTAGAATACTAGCGAACTACATCGTTTGGAACGTCATTCAAGACGAAGTCTCTTTCCTTTCCAAGCCCTTCCGCAAGGCCCGAACGCAGTATAGAGAGAGAGTCCTGGGTTCCAAGGGCCAAAAGAAGCGATGGAAGACATGCGTAACTTTTACGAACGAGCTCTTGGGGGACATCTTGGGATCCGCTTACGTGGAGCATCATTTTAGTAACAGCAGCAAAAAGATGGTGAGGAAAAAGTCGTACCTGATGTTTTTACGAGCAAAACAAAAGTAGATCAACTACAAAATTAAATGACAGGTAACTGCAGATAATGAAAGTTACACAATAAACTAAAGATATAACTAACGCCTTTCATCACTTGTTTCAGGCAGAAGACATGATTGTGGAGGTCCGCAATGCTTTCAAGGATAACGTTAACGCAATTCCATGGATGGACAAAAACACTAAAATGGTGGTCATGGAAAAGGTGGGTCACTTGTTATACTGAATGGGTCGTTTTTATCATAAATAGCTGAAATTAATCATATGTTGATTAGTAGATGATAGCAAATAACGATTGATTTCAGCAGGTGGAATGCAAATGAAGAAATCACTGAGAAAGAAGCGTGCAAAATGTCAAGCGTCGACAGATTTGGAACCCGTACTCAGACGCTAGTTAGTAGTTCCGCGCCAGTACCAAATGAATTAAAATTGCGTCGAAGCCTTGAGTTTTTAAGCTTTTTCTGCAATTATTCAGTCGTAATTTACCAGCGAGGATCATTTATTAGCCAATTTTTCCTCGTAATGTCTTTAGATTTCGCATGAGTGAAACTGCACTCCATCAACCCGTAGCTACTGCGTCTCCGCTACAGCCAGTGTTCTGGCTTGCCAGTCTAATGCACGTTTGATAAAATCTTTCTTTTTATACCAGGCAGATGCAATGCATGATGATGTCGGTTTTCCGCGCTATTTAGTTGAGCAAGAAAAGTTCAAGAAGAGATTCAAGAAGTACAACCACGTAAGTACACAAGTTCTCTATGAGAAGGTGTGCCTTTTTTGGCTTTATATTGGACAAATGTTTCGCCAAGCAAAGTGCGAATTTCTTCTGAAGACTGAAGGAATTTAATCCGCAGCATAATTAAAAAATCTTTTTCCTTTAGGAGACATAGGCCATGAAAATCTCGGAAATAACTTATTTAAAAATATATAGAGCCCTCTATGTAATTTTGATGCTTAAATTGAATTGTTACGACAACTTCCATTGCATCGATCGTATGGTCATTGAGCACATTTGAACCCACTTAATCCAATAGACACTCTTAATGAATAGAGAACTGCGAAATTTCCCTCTACTTCTCTACCATTTAATTATATTTTTAATTTTTGATTAAATTTTAAATAAAGGAATTAAAAAAAAGCAGCTAATCATTTTGAAAATGTTTAAAGATGTAAATTAATAAAGAATTAAAGACACTTTGTTTTTGCAACATTTTATGCTGAGCAATCTATTCCTTTCTAATTTTTAGGTAGAAATAAAAAGCGATAGTCTCTTCAAGAATAGAATCGCGATTTTAAAAATGGCACACCAAAGGATGCTTAAGAAACTAAGAAAGCCCGTAGATAAAGAAGAGTAAGTTATCACCTCAGGATTTTAATTGTTTGTAGAATAGAGATGGCATCGAAAGTATTAGACTCATCTCTTATTAGTGATTTCATGTTTGGAGAATGAGATTATACATTTAGCACGATCAAATGTGATTTCTCTTTAATAGCCTGCAGAAAAGGCATTATTACTGAATTTGGTCGTGATGGATATGTTCATCCAAAGAGGATGTAAACAGTTTATAATCTGCTACGAAATAGGTTGTTGTTCATCGTGGAAGCTGGATGATAATATAAATTTGTTCTGTTGTGTCCCGACAAAGTCACTAGATGTAGAAGTCAACGTTTCGGCTGCTTACTGCAAGTCTTCTTCAGTTTACAATCTCTTGTGCATTTACGAGTGTGAGGGTGTAATACACTTTCATGCGAACAACATTGATGTAGTTGTCTTGAATTAATATAAGCGAGCCCTTATTTACTTTATATTCAAGTTTTCATTTATTCATTCAATCTTTCCTTCGTTCATCCATTTCTTTTACCCATTCGATCGTTACGTTCCTTCCTTTGTTCAGATCGTTTCTTGTTCCCTTCATCCATTCATATACTTTCTTACAGGATGTCATCTCTTCATTCGATAGAGAATTGTTTATAATATAATTAATATTACAGCTTGAATATGCAATGTTCTCTGATGACTGTTTTCAATTCCCTCTATTAAAACTTAGGTGGCCTATGGACCCACAAACGATTAACGCAATGTACAGCTTTAACGAAAATGAAATAAGTAAGTATCATAAAGTATATAAGTCCTTCATTCATTAATTCCTTCTTTTCTTCATTTCTGGGTGACTTTTGTAAGTTAATTTTTCTGACCTATTTGTGTATGATCGCTAAGCTATAAAAAGCTGGCTCTAGCTCCACATTTAAGTGAGTATTTTATTTCAAACTGATCATCTCCTGTTTTGTCTTCCTTGATCTTTAGTTATTCCAGCCGGAATCCTCCAGCCTCCATTCTTTTATGCCAAGGGAAGTCCAAGGTATGAGTCGAAGCTTTCCAAGACTCTCGTAGTCGATTTAGGTTTTTATAAAGGATCAGTTAAGTCACTAGTTTGAGAGGAAAGAGCTTTGACAGCAAGCAATTTAATGTCCATTTTCAAATCTCTAAAGAATATCTTATGGAAACGAGGTTCCTTTTTCTTATCATCAGATCGTTGAGTTTTGGAGCAATTGGATCAATCCTTGGTCATGAGTTGACTCACGGATTCGACAATACTGGTTAGTCATGATTACTTCATTCGACTCAAATATCAGACTTTGTTAGCACAAAATGGTGATTTGTTACTGTCGGTATATGAGACACAAATCTACGCTCGAGAATGTAGCCTCTAAAGCTCTCTAGTCCTACATCGGTGGTAAAGGTAAAGTCTGTTTACGAGCCTAGTGGCCCATTAGGCCGGTGCTTAACTCCGGTTTCTATAGCATGAAGTAACTAGGAGTATTTCTACTCCCCCCTGGATGGGATGCCAGTCCATCGCAGGGTTACCGCCAGCATTAAATTGCGCAGGTACCCATTTATACACCTGGGTGAAGAGAGGCACTGTGAGAGTAAAGTGTCTTGCCTAAGAACACAACACAATGTCCCGGTCGGATCTCGAACCCGGACCACTCGATCCGCGGAGTCGAGCGCACTAACCATGAGGCCACTGTGCCTCCACCCTACATGGCTGGGAGTTCCGCAAATTAAATATCCAAATCTCGACGAAACAGGACTCACCATTTTTTATACCTAAAAGGGAGTTTATGATCAAATGGTTAAATTTATCAAATATTTTCTTATTCGACCATTTATTCAATTTGCGTATTTGTTCATTTAGTTTTTTAATCTCTTATAGGTCGAAAATTCAACAAGAACGGCGAGCTCACTGCACAGTGGTGGTCTCAAGACTCACTTGATGGATTCAATGCTAAGGCAAAATGTGTGGAGAATCAGTATTCTATGTACAAAGTCAGAGACAAATATCCAGTAAGTGAAATATCAATAGAAAAATAACGGGAAAAAATTCACAAATTCATTCATTTACCATCTATAAAACGCTGCTTTACTTAGTTGAATTTTCCAGGAGGATATTTTCTCGATCCTCAAGTTGTTATTCTTCTTCTTTTCGTTCTTATAATAATAAACAAATTCGAAAAAAAAAACTTATTACAAGATAAATTTGTTGCAAAGGTTGTATTTGAAAAGTCCTTACAAGACTTGTATCAAAATTGGTTACCCTTCTGGCGAGCTAGTGATTGTAATCCAGTTCTATTTTCTGTAGATTAACGGAAAGCTCACTCTTGGTGAAAACATTGCTGATAACGGCGGGTTTAAGGCGTCGTTTAGGGTAAGTTGGAATCAGTGAATTTCGTATAGTTGCAGATTAAGATATCACGAATACATTTAAAGTAGAGGAACCCTCTTATGAAATTTATATATATGTTTTTAAATTCATTTTGTCCTCCTAACTTAGGACTACATGGATTAAACCTTGGGTGGATTTGATTGCAAAGCGCTCATGGGCTATGATGAATTGAAGTTACGAGTTATTTAGTTCATCGTCATTCAAGTGCCATAATTTGACATTTCCGCCTTTACGTCGTTAGGCCTACAAGAACTGGTTGCGCAAAAATGGCCAAGAAGCTTGGCGATTACCGGGCATTAATTTCACCAGTGAACAGCTGTTCTTCATAGGTTTTGGTCAGGTGAGAAACTGAGTTAATCAAACGTGAGCATAAGAATTTTTCCAAGTAGTCTGAATTGCATGCGAAGGGGAAATCTGGTAATATACCAAGACAATTGAAAGCCTCGTTACGGACATTATTACATCAATAGTCCGATTATCTTTTATCGGTCTTCTCATAAAAAAAAAGGTTCATCTTCAGATAAAGTCAGAGAAGTCTGATAAAGTCAGATAAGGTGAGATAAAGCTTGAGCCACACCCTGATTGGCGTCTCTAAGGAAGTTGACGGGCGATAGTCTCCTTCGCAGCCGTTTCATGGTCTCCTCACGAAAATTCTTTTCTGGTGAGATTCACAATGGGGTTAACCTACAAAGCCGTAGAAAGGGTACAAAAGGTAGCCGTTAGGCGTAAAATTGACAAATTTTAACTGTTAAGTGCAAAAAAAAAAAAAACCGTATAATGACGAAAATTTTAACCTTTAACTGTAAGAGCCATCACCCCATTGAGACCCTCCTTTGATGGGGAAGAGGGTGTGTTGCGTTACGGCACTAAAGAAAGGACTAGGGGGGGAGAGGTAGATGAACCAAACATAGAGACACAGAGAGGGGAGACGGGTTACCGAAGGAGGAGAATTAGCCAATAACTGACGTAGGGGGAGGAAAATTTATTGTAGAGTACCTGGACTGTTTCATTAACTACTGCTTTTATCTTTATTACTAATAAGGCTTATTGCAGTAATAGCCGTCCAACGGAGCAGTATCTGGCGACATTAAGTGACAGGCACTCTGAGGAAAAATTCAGGTGAAACATGAGGTTTTGTTGGTTACACAGGCTGGTCGATGCTTTTGTAGCTTCCTCTTTCTTTACAAAACAGAACGCAGTAGCATCTGCCCGTGACGAAATTGAAATCGGGCTATTTCGCCGTATCTACTTTTCAGATTAACTATTCTCGAATTCTACTTTAACTTTCTTTAAAAAATGTTGAAAGAAGCTTTAAGGTAGACCACGCTTGTACTAGACCAGATATACGTTTAATCTGTGCTCAGAGACGTAAGAAAGATTTTCTACTTCTAAGGAGTCTAATATCCACATCATTTATTTACCTTGGGCTGTCATGGGAGGGGAGGGAGGGGTTGTCATGGAGTGTTAGTCTCAGAAATTATCACCAGAAGACCTATCAAGTTATCGCTTTTGAATATCACAGATGAGGTCCAAGATGCCTCTTTCCTCCCTAAGGTACTTCCTCAGAGCTTGGGGTCTGTCTACAGAATACAGGGAGGATTTGTTATGGTTACGTTTTGCAGCGTCAGGTTAACTATAATAATATTCCTATATCCTATCCATCAAATTTTTAGGGTCATCGGAACGCTGTCCAATTCATTTGACTTTGCCAGAGCGTTTAAATGTAAGCCCAATCAACCTATGAATCCCACAAGCAAATGTGCCGTGTGGTGTAAAGACGAATTGGAACTTTAGAGAGTGGCTGGTTACAAAGCACCTACGCGAGAACTTTAGGGTGTGGCCGGCTGTATCCCACGTGGATTCTAGACCAGAGCCGTAGGATATGGCTGACTTGGTGTATCCCACGTGGCTTCTTTGTGCCTATGCTGGCCATGGATGCGAGATGATAGCTTCTTAAGAGAACGGAATTACTTTTAATGTGTGTAATTTATACTGCATCGTCTTTGATAGATTATTTACCATCCTTCCTCAATTTTTTCCCTCCTGAGCTTGTTTTCATTTCATTTCTGTATCATCGATCGTCATGGATGTCAGTCAGTTTGTAAAATAATAATGATGGTAATTTGACAGGTGGAAATTTATCTCATAAAATGGAAAAAAGAATCGAATTTAATATGAACAAAAGCTGAACGATTTTCCAGCGATAAATAAAGTTCAGTAAAAAGTTGAATTGTTAACTACCAATTTTCTAGCTGCTTTTTGTTCAGAGGAAAATTTTTCCATCTTCGGCGGCGGTGGAAAACTTTCCAAAACAGAGGCTGATTGATATGCTGCATATAACATAAAAATGAGACTTAAGAGATTTCTAAAATGACAACGAACTTTATGAAAAAAAAATTCCATTTTCAAACGCAAGCACTGAACGAATTTAAACTATGTAACCTGAACCTGAATTGCTAACAAAAGAATCGTACACTGTGCCGATTTGCGTGCGGTAAATTACTCCATCTAATTTTCACAACAAACCGTAAATGCAAATTTGTGGTAAAATTATTGTGTCGGTTTAAAATTTTGATTGAATCATTTGTTGTATGTTTTTTGCCAAACCATTCAGTAAACGCCAGAAGTGATAAATATCTACCAAGGTGTTGTCTTGAAATGACACCAAGTTCTCATGCAATTGCTGATTGACAAGGAGGTGCAAATCAATTAGAAGAAATACTGATCAGACATTGCAAGTTACAGGGTTTATAAACGGCAGGTTTATCTCATTCCACAACTTTTTACAGTCGATACACAAATTTTCAGTCGACTCTGGGCAGACTTCGAACTGTGAACGAACTTGTCAGTGACAAAGCTTTGGGTTGGGTGAATGATATTTTTCTTAATTACCTTAGAGATATTTGTCAAATGAAACTTTATTTGCAAATTTTATTAAAAGAAGCATGCTGGAAAGAAAGAAATAGCAAGAGTCTATTTAAATCCTCAACGAAGTACAATTACCACTTAATTTCTTCAGTTGCTCCGATATAGAATTTTTTAGTCTGTACAAATATTTTATTGATCTTGTAGTCAGCTAGTTTGTATAAAGTTGCAAAGGTTATTTTTCCTTTTCCTGCAATTTGATTGGTTTCAAGCCTTGTACTCTGATCGGTTGTTTTACTTTAGTAAAGCTTTCTCATTGGCTAGGGAAAAGATGCGATTTAGCGCAAATTACAAAAGAAAAATTGAGAGATTCGTGAATAAATCGCACGCACGAGAGCCAATCAGATGACGGTGATATAGAAAATGTAGAATGTAAAATAACCATAAATCATTACTAGATGCGTAAATTCTTCAGAAAGGCAATGCAAATTGGGATTTGATCTATCCAACAAAATATAAATTCATCATTAAAAACCACTTTGTAGCTTTGGGCGTTGAATCAGTTTCACAACAAGGAGTGACAAAAACGGTCTTTCTCTTTACAAAGTCACTACATTTTCAAACAATAAGGCGAGAAGAGGAAAGAATAATATCAACTAGGTATACCTTTTTGGATATTTCTAAACACAAATTCTCAATATTTAAACCACATAAAAAGGCGGACATAAGGGAGATCTGACTTCTATATCTTGCAAGTTTAGAGGTTAAAAGACGGACTTATTTACTTATCACAGGTGCAACACACATCCACATATCACATGAAACTCACTTTGCATAAGATACCACTTTTACTTAAATCTCATAATTTTTCAAAGTCAATATTTAAAATTTAAATATATTAAAACGGATACTCCGATAACAATCCTTCAGTAGTAAACTCTAAGATGTACTCTACATCTTTTTAAATATTTTAAAATCCCCAAAAGGGCATAATCATTTCAAATAACTTTCCTACTATTGACACATAAAACGCCACGACACTTGTACTTCGCTGACGCTTAAATAAGGCGTTCTCACAATATATGCTCAAAGGCCATTCTCAGGAAGGAAAAAATGTGGATTGAACTGAATTAAGAAAAAAAAACTTCATAAATATGAATATGAAGACCAGCCCCTAAATTATCCCAACATGGGTTTTACACATCCAAACCCAATAAAGAGAAGTCTTGCACCATAAATACTTGATCCCCATCGCAAAAAGAACGTGGCTGTAACTATGTTAATAAATAAACTAAATGAAACTAACCTTGGAACAAAATGTACACGTAGTAAAAACCACAATTGTAATCAAAATAAAATAACCACCACGATACCTTCCCAACCAGTGTTCTAAAAATGTATTACCCCCTTTACCCTCTACGAGTAACTTCCACCTAAATTTCTCCTTACAATATCACAGAATCCAACATTAAGGTCATAAGAAGAACGGAAGTGATCATCAACTAAACAAGCTCTTGATCGTTTAAATATCTTCCTTGGAATTATCAAGGGAAATGTATAAAGAATTGTGTGGATAATATGAAAACTGATGTCCGAGTGTGAGGGGTTCACTAAGAGAATTCGAATATTCCACACGTGTCTTTAAACACAGAGTTAACAACACCGCCCCACTCCTTCCTTCTTGGATCAAACATCTGTTTCTCTTATCAACAGGGGTGTTGGGTCTCTCCGAGCGACAACTGGTTGCCACCATAACAGAGACAGTTGAACAGGTAATATACACAGGCCATGGAGAAGTCCGAACGAAACAATACCCACAAACATGCGGAAGAAAATGCGGTAGATCTCCGACGTGGCAAAGACTAACACCAGCATTCCAAGAAAGGTGCTGAAACCTGTTTGAAGAATAACAAATTTGAGTAAAAACGTCAGAAACAAGAGGAAGAATTTAATCAGCCTAGAAGTACTAAGCAATTTGATAGATTGTTTCGCTTCCTGATGAGCGAGATGCAAAGGCGCATTAGTCACTGCGGCAAACTTTGAATGTAGAGGTTTCGGTTAGACCTTTGTCGGCACGCTATGTACCAAAGCCCCCTGCTAAACGATTATAAATGTCTGACATGGATTCAAATTTTAAACTAAAGATTCTCAGGAAATGCAACACTGATTAGGTGACGCTTTAGGAAATGACCGAATAAAAAGTGATGTTTTTGGTGCCTCGATTAATTTCCCAAGCAATTAAGGGCGTGTTGGTGGCTTCGGGCTTAATTCACCATCAAAAGGAGAGCATGAAAGGAAAGAACATAAGTGGGGCGCCTACCTCCCATAAATACACTGGCACCAAGCGTACTAACAGCGTCAATGACTCTCTTGTTGGTTGTGTCCTCCTCAGACATAACAAACGCATGCGCAATATGTGCACTGTAGTCCACGGCAAAACCAATGGCCATGACAAGAGTAATCATTGAGACGCCATTTAACGACACGTCCCAGATGAACATCAACGCAAACAGCTCGAGCACCAGAGCCACAAAATTAAACACAACCAGAAGCGTCACCGTGCAATCGACTAGGAACAGGGATGTTACCACAAGAACAGCCAGGGCCGCTATGATAAGATTCCTGGTGGTCTCTCTTCCAACGATTGCATACTGTTCGAAAAAGATAAATGGACGACTGATCGGTATCACGTCGAGTGAAGATTTCTTGGCAAGATCCTCCCGAATTGTCAACATAGCATCCTTCTGAAACGTGGAGCTTAGATTGTTCTTCATGAAAGCCATGACACGAGACGCAATGACGCGACTTCCGTTGGCCGACAGTTTCACATCTTGGTTGAAAGACAAAAACTCAGGACTTTCAAGGAACAGTCTTAGCGCAGGCGTAAACTTTGATCCAGTAACGTTAATCCCACTTGCAGCAGAGAAATGAGTGAAAACTTCCATCCAAGATACAATTTGAGTTCGGTAATAGCCATTATCCCTAACAATTTTTGACAAGCGCCTAACCTCGTCTTGGACAGTGGGCTCAGTGTAATCAATATCACCTGTAAGTACTAAGCTAACAGGAATGGAGTGTTCGTAATATTTCTCTCGAACGTTCAGAAATTTCAAAAGCGCAGAGTCATCTTTCGCCAGCATTCTTCTATCAAAATTTTCTGTCACCTTCGTCGTTCCATAAATTCCCAAGGCAAGGATTGCCGCAGAAATGACAAGCACAACAAATTTCGTTGCAGGTAACACAAGAAAGTTCGCCCAGATCTTTAGAATACGGTTCGATGTCTGAGGGCGTGGCGCGTCCCATGGGACTTGGCCATCTTTCGGGGGTGGCGCTCTGCACACAGGCAGGCAGTCTCTCCGGCCGGCTTTTATTCTTCTGATGTCAAAGGTCATTGCGGCGACGAAAAAGGTTATCATCATGGCATAAGACAGCGTGACAGCTAAGGCTGCGTAAATGCAAAAGTATCTGAAAGAGATGGATGGAGAAATCTAGTCAGGAAGCAAACTGCAAAATAGTCCTGACTTGCTCTTAAATGTGCAGTCCTTCATAAAAGTAGATAGCACGAAAAACGAGTGACAAATAAAAGAATTTTGACGCAAGGCACTGACTCAAAGTAGCCCCTTCCAGCCTGTTAGATTACAACGGTGCGATTATTTCAGTGTGGTTTACATTTTGTCGTTGTTTTCTTACTAAAAGTCTGGAAAAATTTAAATTTTTAAGAGTCTGTTTAGGAAGGTAGTCTTGCTGAGATGCGCTTTTCACAATACTGTTTTGTGATATGTGCTCCAGTTGAATCCATTACCCTCTGGTTAAGAAGGTCCCTGTCATTCTGTGCTGCCTAAATATAAGGCTGCGCATACCTCCACCTTGAGCAATGAAGGGAAAAAAGGACCAAAAACTATTAAATCTCACCTGATAGCCGGAAAAGCAGTCGATGTACTCACGGCAAATGCAACCAGGTCAGTCAAGGTTGTCATAGTAACTGTAGCTCCTGTACGTGACATTACTTCTTTGACGATCCTGATGACGCCCACATCACGTGGTTGTCGATCAAGTTCATCCACTATAATAAACATATCATCGATGCCTATACTTAACACTAGGAAGGGAACGACGCCTATCATGTTTACGTACGTCACACGGGACCACATGCCCAGACCCATTCCCGCTAATATTCCAAAAGCCACTGCGAGCACTCCTACGTTTGCGAGTATCGAGTGACCGGTCAGCGGATTAAGAAATTTTCCAAGCATGAAACAGGCGAATGAAATCATAATAGTAAAGGTGATCGATATTAGAGTTATATCAGCGCTACTGTTTTCTTTAATAGCATCATCTGTGCTTCTCTCTGCCTCGTAGTAAATCTCAAAACAGGTGGCGGACGTGGAAGCCACTTTGTCAAGGAAGGTCTTTTCCCATTCGAGGACTTTCTTGGTGACATCATCCTCGGGTGGGTCTCTGATCAAATATTTCAGTTGCATTGCGCGTGCGCCAGTTATTGCACGATCGCTTGTCTGTTTTGTCACGTCACCGAAAATCTGGCGAAAATTTCGCTGGAAAAGCTGTCCGTCTCGCATTAACAAACTCTTCTTGTTGAACGCTGTGTTGATTTCTGTTTGAATTTGTACCAACGACCTGTTGCTAAAATTTCTGTCTAAGAAAACTTGAAACGGATCAATAGTCACGCAATCCTTCCAGGTACTAGCCTTCTGTCCAGAAAGAGTCAAACAAAATTCTGTAAACGACTTCAACATTACTATTTGACTGTGTACATTTTGGGCCTCCGTCAGGCATTCTGCAGCAAGGATGTTGGGATTTTCTGCATGGGCTACTAAAATTACGCTCGCTACACGAACCTTAAGTCGAAAATATTTTTCAGCTATGTTTAAATCGTTGATGGCTCTACTGTCTTGAGGAATGAAGAGTTTTTCAGTTCTGCTTTCTGTTTTCAGCCACAAGAATCCCACAGAACAGAACGAAACGAAGAAAATACAGATCATAATACAAGCCACAGGGTGCCCAGCTATGATTTCCCCAAGATGCCCAACTAGATGTTGTAGTAGGCGAACAAACCGACTGCACAGAGCAGACCACTCATCACACAGATTGCAGTGATGTTTCCTGGTGAACGATCAAAATAAAAAGAAAATTGTTTTACTGGTTGTCAGTGACCCACACATCAGTTATGCCTTAAACGTGACTGAAATAGGCGCCTGAGTTAACCTGTTATAGGCGTTCACTTGGCGAAATAGTAGCGGCGAAGCGGGAAAGGAAATGACGGAAGCCCCTCTCCTTTTTTCGCTCCACTGCTATGCTGCAGCGGGGTTTACAATCTTGCCTCGCTTAACTTACTTCACACTTGCAACAAGCTAATGAACTTTGACTAACTATTGAAAGAAAGGGACGCGCGGTGGCCTCATAGTGCGCTCGTCTCCGGATCGATCGAGTGGTACGGGTTCGAGCCTTGGCTGGAGTATTGTGTTGTGTTCTTAGTACGACACTTTACTCTAACAGATGCCTTTCTTCACCCAGGTCTTTAAATGGATACCAGCGAATCAATGCTGGGGGGTAACCCAACTAGTATCCCATCCAGGGGGGAACAGAAATACACGTACTCGCTTCATGCTACAGAAACCAGAGTAAAGCGCTAGCCTGATGGGCCGCTTGGCTAGTAAATAGACTGTACTTTTTTAACTATTAAAAGAAGCAGATCCTGGTTTGAGTACTGCATTGGTCATTCATTGTTAGGTTGGATACACTTCTCTCATAAAGCCTGTCTCCACCCAGCAGTGTGGTAAAGATGAAGTCAGCAATCAAGCCAACTGGTTCATCTGGCCAAGGTTTACCCTAGTTTATTATGACATGAAGCAACTAGGAAAATGGCTACTTCCCCTGGATGGAGAGTTAATCCTTAGCAGGTAACCTTTCCCACCCCCTTCTACATCTCACCAGATAACCCTAACAGTTTCCTGGTTCACCCATTTTAAACTCTTGGATGGAGAGGCACTGTCAGTGAAAGTTAAGTGTCTTATCCAAGTACCCAGGCTCACAGTCCGACCATTTGACCCAAAGTTTAACACATTTACACCATACTATACTGTACTGTTAGGCAGTAGCATCTCCCACCTTTGAGCACAATAACCTACAAACTTTCCTGGAGAACAACATGTCAATGGTCCATTTTACAGTTGTGTGCTTGGTTGCCCAGCCTGTGAACAGGAGTGAGGCTTAGGGTGACCTTCTTACCATACAAACATTGCTGCTTTTCAATTGTTAATTACTTTTTTATTATGCTACCTACTAGAAGATACTTGTCTCTGTCAAAACAGTCACCTTCAGCCCCACTCCAAATCAAAGGCTTGGCAACTAAGTACACAACTGTAAAAGTGGTTCACCACTTATGTTTGAAGGTAACCTGTGATGGACAAGGATCACATCTCAGTCAAGCACCATTACTCCTGGTTACCTAATGCCATAGAAACAGAGATACCTACTGTACTTCTAAAACTGATCAACAAGAACCTTTTTGTAAAATTTTTTTTTCTGCCAGGCAAAATGGTGAGGTATAATGAAGCCAGTTTTCTCATTAAAGTCCATATTAGCCTGATAACTGAAACAGCTTAGGACTGATGAATGCCTGACAGTCAAAGTGCAACATTTGAAAATGAAAATAAGTTTTTTGGTTTGTTATATAGAAATTCAATAGCCTATTAAAGTCACTGTTGAGGTGGGTGATTGGTGATTTTTAACACATGTATTTCTTGGTGACCTAATTGTCTTAAAATTAATATTGGAAACTTCAAGGAGGCTCAGTGTTTCAGTTTTCAGCTAGGGGGCCCAATAGCATAATGTATTTCAAGATTTATTCCAACTCTCCGGAAAGGGAATCATTCAGATTCATCAACTCATTTACACTCTTGGGGTTATCCAATCAGGTAACACATGGTCATATATCACATATTCTCACAGGATCAAATATAGTTGTTGTTATCATTCAGACTTGTAACATTGAAAAAATTTAACGTTCTATAATCTCACTTGGGCATCCTTACAAGACCCGGGTACCATGCAAAATTTAATATTTGCGTCAACTTGCCTATCCTTGGTATCATGACTCAGTAATATCATTATATTACATGGTCAGTCAACATTTCAATTTTTATTTTGAACTCTCCAGCACAAATGAATTGAACAGTAACTCATGGAGGGAAGATTGAAAACGTCACCACGTGATTAATCAAGGAAACCCCCCAGGAATCTATGAAATGCACAGGGCAGACAGGGTGATCAATTTGCAACAATACACAAACATAGCATATTCAACATTTGTAATATCTTGTCTACATCTGAAAATAAGCGTACCGACTGTGTATTCTGAAAACTTTGCGGTCAGATAAAGACAGGAAATATCTATTTAAAAAGATCACCTGTTCAACTTGACAGTATTGTTGTGCGAAGCAAATTTCTTAGCTTTGAAAATTATATTTTTTAATAAGACCTTGACCGAAAAATCAAAATCTTCAATAATTTACATAAATGTGGAATGAATTCAGAATACACGCTGTGTTCTTGTTTCGTGTGAGTTTCGGTTTTGAGCTGAAGTAAACACCTGGCAACCTGTCAATAGCGAACTAAGCTGATATGAATACTTAACTCACCAAAGAAAGATCCACGAAATCAGAGTTTATGGATTAAATCTGAGCCAAAAATATAACAATTTCTCACCTTTCTTCGCTCTTATGGTTCGCAGTCTCTTTAGAGGTGTGTACGACACCATTTTGTTCCACCAAGAACGGTTGGTTGGCAGTCAATTCGCTCATCCTACACACTCCGATCTAAATTCGTCTAACAAAGGAAGGATGAAGTTAAGTGAAACAGATTGATGCGACAGTATATCGGAAAAACCCCTGATTCTTCTGGGCTTTTATGAATGACTGCTGCATATTAGATCAATCCGTCGAACTTCCAAACCTTGTTTGACTCTTGATTTAGAATCGTAAGAGGCATTTACACAGAGCACACGATTCCATCATAATTTCAATCGTTGGTGTAAATTCTCCGCTCAGTCTTTCTATGAGCTGAATATCTCTGGTCAAAGTTCCTCTTGATATCGGCACGTTAACCCAAACATCTCTTTTCAGCTGCACAAAAACGACACTCTTTCAAGCAACTCAAAGTCCGCCGTAGTTCTTCACAGCGCTGATGCATTACCTTGATGCAAATTACCCAAACAGTCGCCAGTGACGTCACATGGGCAACCCAAATTCATTCTGCTTCATAGGCACTCAGAAACGAAAACGAAAACGAGTCCTTTTTATTTCCCGTTTTCTTTTACTATAGCTTCATTATCTCGGTGTCAAAACTGCAGAGATAACATTCAGCGCCAAAGGAGAAAGGTTATGCGTCGGTTTGGTACTAGAAAATCTCATGGTCTTAAAATAAGTGATCAATACTCATGGTCTTAAAATAAGTGAGGAGAATTTGCTACCTTTCTATAATATCAAGAAATGGATAGATATTCTAGTCTTCTCGGATAAGGACGAATAAACCGTAGGCCCCGTCTCCTGCAGGGTTAGGGATAGGAGACGTTAATTTCCCACGCACGAGATTACTGTGTGGTGGATGTCCTCCCCTGGGGTGGGATGGGTGGGAAGGTGAGAACGTTACATGGACTGAAGCGGCTGCCAGAGGCGCCTGATAATGCTGACGTCCGATCTCAACCTTATCATTGTAACTAGACACGTTTGTTGTTTAGAGTGCTTAACACTTTCTTTCTTTCTAGAAAATTGCCTAATATCCAAATTCTGACAGAATCAGTTTACACACAAATAACGAACTTTCCATTGTCTGCCTTCGAGTTTCTTTTGTTTTTGATTTTTTCTTTTGTGTGTGACTGACATTTGATAGTACCTATGCTCATTATCGTTATCATCGTCATTATTACCATAATCATTATCATTAACTCGCCTATTTAATCATTCCTTTGGAGGGCAATAAAGGAGACCGAAAATGCTGCCAATTCCTCGGTACCACTTACTTCCGTTTACGTCCATTTGCGAATGAAAGCGCAATACAGGAACGATGACTGCTTAATTGGAACTGCTAAAATCAATATTTCCCAATGCATCTGTGTACTTTCTTGTTGCTTTTAATCAAACGGTCACATTTGTTTGGAAAACATGGGTGGGTGTAAGACAAAAATGTCAGGGCACACCATTACTTAAGAGCTCCAACAAATAACATAAAATAATAAGAAAAAACATGCAATACACCGTGATATTTATTACGATCTTAGAATCATTTTTTTAAAGCTCGTCTTTATATCTGTCGCCAATGTCACAGCAGCTCTCTAGCACAAAATTTACTGTAAAAATAAGTTTACACAACTATGACAAACAACATAAACTAAAAAGACCACTCCAAAGGGCACCAGATAAGCAAGTAGTCGATTAATTTTACTGATATAAAAATATATAATATTATGATGACTACAAAAAACACTTATTTACTACTCACACTAGCGTACAATTGACATTTCTCCTTTCATTTTAGGTTGTAGCCAACATCAAAAGTCCCATGTAGCAAAAAAGTTCTTGCAGACCTCCATGATCATGCAAAACTGTAAGCGTAGGAAATAGCATTTCTATCAACCAAACTAATGGCAACTTCAACAACAATGAACAGAAACATTTATCAGTTACTCCATAACAGTAAAATATCTATAAAAGCTTATGATGAAGGGTTTCATCAAAACATTCAAGACACTCCTTATCATTTATTAGTGCACTTAAAAGTTCAGGAGCTAGTAAACACTGCTTTGTAACATTTTTACATAGCATGAGTTCTATTTCACCATCAGCACAAGTAATCTTTAATGTTAATGTTACTTCCCTGAAAAACAGAACTAATTACCATGATGCTATCTGCATTTACAGTAAGTACTGCATTGCATTATCATCTTAAAGATTAATTTTAAACAAGGTCATGAAACAATGCCCACATTCTGACTAATACTCTAATGCAAACATGCATTCTTAGTAGCTGCAGTACTTGGCATCTTTCAGCTGATGCATAGACAGCAGATATGAAAATTTCATAGTTTGATTGAGCCTTTGGCCTCGTCACTTGTCATCTATTCTCTTCTCTCTAGAGTAAAAAAATTAAAACTATTCACAATTAAATACCTCAGCAATGTACCAGGACACTACAGTATTCTAGTGATGCATTACAAGAGTGAAACAGAACATCTGAGTATAGTTTATACCAAAATATAACTGTCACTTAACATCTCGGTTTTCTGTTTATTTGTTGTCAAATTTAAAGACACGATGAATTTACTCGATCTATCGTTCCCCTTTGTTCTCAAATTATCATCTAGTTCTGGCTTTTAGAACATCTGAGGTTCTACTACTTGAAATCACTCGTTTGAATTACATCATGCTTTAGAACTACATGTATGTGAAAATATCATGCACAGACAGTGTTCTACAAACAAATTACAAATTAGAGGGTAGCAAAGCTATTTCAGTTTAAAAATATTACCTACGTTTATCTCTTTTGTTCATAAAACATCAAAATTATGTCTGACAATTTGAAGCTTCAACACCCCCTGAGCAATCCCCCCTGAGATCTAAACGTTTGAAGATTACTTTTCCAATTCCAGTTCAAATTCCCCACCCCTGACAGTTAAGGTTCTAATTCCCTACCCACTGAGCATGGACAACAGTCAAATGTTTATGGGTTACCACAGGGGGGGAGGGGGGATATTGAAGCTTCAAATTGATCAGCACAGTGTCACTGAAGCTTCCTTAGTCATTATAAATTCACTTATAAAAGGGGAAGATCTTAATGTAATTGGATGTCTATGTGAAATAATTTTCATACTGATACTAACTACTATACATTTGCTGCTTATACAATTTACCTGTACAAAATGATATTTACATTGTACAAGTGAACAAATTGTAACTGACAAATAAAATGCTTAAATGCTGTATTCAACATCAAATTCACCACCAAAACTGCAAAACAATTCTACTTTTTTCTGTCTTTGTATGTAGGACTCCTGATTTATCATGATAACACTGGAATCACTACACCTTGTACACTGTACACTTACATCTTCTTAAAGACTTCATTCTTTGTGATAAAGCATGAACCCATCACACCCAGCTGGTAAATGAACAACAACACTTCATTTTTGCCCTCCAAGAAAAATGCTCTCATCCACGTCAACCTAGTAACCTTAAACTAGGCTCAATAAGCCACACCTTTTTCCCCAAAACTTTGTAACAAATCAAGGGTGTGGTAGCTGTCCATAACATTATATTCTTCTAATTGGTAAGGATTTAAAGTATTCTCTTTTTTCAACATTATTGAGATTACATGGGTGTACAATCAATGAGGCAACCAATGTTAAGAGCTTTCTCAAGATTCCACTTGTAATTTCTTTGGATTTCTTTTCAAAATAACTTTTTTCCGAACTTTGATTTACCAAACTCTGATTTACCAAACTCAAGGTGTGGCTTATCTGCAAGTGCAGCTTATCTGCCAGTGTGTACCGTAATCAGACAATAACATTGATATGACAGCATTTTCATGACAAACTACAGACTTCCACTGTATTCACATAATTTCAGCCTCAAATAGATGAACATTGCGCCATATTTCTCTAAAAGAAACATTGAATTTTTGGGAGGGTTTGAGACAAACCAAAATGACAAGCTGCACAATCCTAAAAATTATTTTCCATAATTTTTTTTCTCTCTCTTTTTTTCCCTATTTCATAACAGTACCTCTTCATTACCAAACAAAATAAAAGCGACATATCTTTAATAATTGCAATATTTGTCCTTTGATCATGTAACTACATGTGCCCAATCAGCGATTTCTCTCTTCGTGCATTGGAAGTTTCCAGTAGAGCTCTGGTTGATTCCTCATTTATGTAAGTGTAATGGGTGTTGCTAGATTTCTTGATTACTGCAGCTGCCTGAGGCTTGAGGTGAGGATTGTCCACAATCTCTACCTCTGCATACAGAAGATCTCTTCTTTTCCTCTGTTCCATCTAAATTATAATTATTCTTGGTTAGCAAATGTTAACAGGTGCAAATGTACAATTTGATCTCAGCCTAAAACATTCTCATTAATAACACTAACCCAGCCCCCTTCCCTTTTCCTTTCCAGGTAAAAAGAATGGAAGCTTAAAAAAACATATTTTGTCTACCCTTCTTAAAAAATGGGACAAAAAAAAAGGATCTGTATGTTACCTGTCTTGTATAGCAGTACAGCATGACATTGGGTCATGTGAAACTTGATGTTTGCAATCATGTGACTTAATTTGGCATTTTTGTTTTTCATCCCATATTCTGAAATAAATCTTTCAGTGTGGTTGATATCAATCAATGTGGGAACCTGAAGATCCTTTGACTCTTTCAAGAACAAACGATTTACTCCCAATAAAGTGTTACCTTCTCTTATACTGTTCACGTACTTCAGTATACCACAAATTTACAAGCTTGATTCTTTGTGTACATCTGTTTCATTATACAATAACCACTACTTACTGACATTGGTGAAGAAGAAGAAGCATGGCCAGGACTCATGGCTGTGTAGATATCGTCATTCTCAGCCAAAGAGGATGATGATGAGGAGCTGCTCTTTGCACCAGAGAACCTCCTGCTCTGTATAGATGTCATGTCTTCATAAAATTGATTGTTACCATGTGGCTGGGATGTTCCATCTTTATCAAGGCTGTAGCATCTTGTCCACTGTGATCTTGTGGGTGTCATTTCACAATACTCTAAATCATCAATTGCACACTCAGATTGTCGTTGATACTTGTTTGGCTGGTTTGGCAAGGACCCAACCAATGGGTTGCTATTTAAAACCCTCACAAGAGGTAGATTCTGAGGACGCGGTTGCGATCGATAATTAATGTAACTATGCTCTGGCTGAGGCATAGTGTTTTTCTTATACTTGCTTTGTCGATCAACAGGTGGTGCCATGTTACAGTAACTGTGGTCTTGTGATGTTTGTGTCTTTGGCTTAATTGCTCTGTTGACTTGTGGTGGTCGTTTCAGCGTGCGATCAACTGCTGGAGCCACTGTGTTTCCAGCTGAATTCACCAAATGAAATAAAAATTTTATAAATTCAACATGAATTACAAGTGGAATATCTGCAGTACTGCATGAAGGTGCAGTGTATATCTTATATAACACATTTTTCTTCCACTGAACCAGCCAAAGAAAAGTCTAATTCAAAAGTAGAAAACTTAATTCCCCCAATAATTCATCATTACCCTTTCAATGTTAATTTGTTTGTTCCATACATTCAACAAGTGAGCAGCAGGACAATACAATTAGCAAGGCAGCCCTACATTTTCAGTTTTCCAAAATTCATACACTCAAGTTTAAAGATCAAAATACTTCCAAAAACTAATTGGTGTATTGTTGCTCTCCAATTAAGTTTGGTAAAGACAAAAGTTTTATTCCATACTGTTTCTGACCTACACTTCTTTTCATTCACATTCTAGAAAACTATTTGACATGATTTTATGACATGGATTTTTTTTCTAATGTATAAGAGCCACAAGGTTATCAACTTGGTAACCATGTGGCCCTTATACATTAGGAAAAAAAAGTGAATTACCAACTCTTTACCACACAAAGTCAAAAAATGTGCTGACTTAAACTAACTGACTAAATGTCAGATTCTGTCAATCTGTACTTTTTCCCACTGCCTGTCCATGTGACTGACTTATTAACATGCAACAGTGGTTTAAATGACTTTATTTTCTTTTTTATGACTTTTTTTTTTATTCACTTCCACGATTACAACAATTACAATTCTTTTTTCAACAATTAAGTTAAAGAAGAATGAATAAAGTTTGGTTTACAGAAGTTAACAATGTTATTGTCAGGAGTAATTACATGTTAACCTCTACTAGGAGTTACACGAAGAGGATTAATAACAGTCACCCACATACCTTGATTAGGAATTGCTGGTGGAGGCACATCATAGATATCATCAGTGGACGTCGGAGGGACATCATACACTTCAGTCGGATGTCTGGGTAACACATCATATATATCTTCTTGCTTAGGAGGGACATCATAAATGGAGTCTCTAGATGCTAAATTTGGTGGCCTGTCATAAATATCCTCAAGATTAGGATCACAATCAGGAGTCTCATCACTTAGAGATCCAGAGTCTCTGTCTTTTGGAACTGGAGGTAAAGGTGCATCATACTTTTCATCTTGGTTCTCTAACTTCAAGGAACAAATGCTTGAAAATGAGGCATTTAGTCCAGAATCTGCACTGACAGGACGGTTGGTTTTTGGTAAAGTGTCATAATCAACATTTTTAGACTGATATGGGGATGGTACTGGAGGTGGTACCCAGTTGTAAACATCTGAAACATCTTCACTACTCGGACGGCAATAACTGTCTGAAAAACGGGGGTCATGATTATTTTCATCCCTTGGTAAGCTCCTAGCATGAGCAGGTCTAGCTGGGGGAACAACATCGTATACATCTTGTGATGTAGGGCGTGGTAGCGGCACAACATCATAATTTTCCTTTGATGCATCCTGCTGGGCTTGTCTGCGTCTGTGCACAGGTGGTGGGGTGTCATAATTACTCTGTTCTAAAATTCTTCCACTAGGTGGAACATCATAGATATCTTGGCCATCTTGCATGTCACTCCCAGTAGATACTGGTCTTGGCTGAGGAACAATGTCATAATTTTCACTTTCTTGTGCTCGATAGAGACCCTGGCTAACATGTGTATTCTTTTTTGCAATTGGCTTCGGAATAGGAACAACATCATAGTTTTCCTGTTCATGCATCTTTATGATGGGAGGAATGTCATATAAACTTTGGCCATCTTGCTCATCAGCAGCAGATGCTCGCCTGGGAGGTGGAACAAAATCGTAGTTTTCCTTCTCAGGTGACCTCAGAGTAGGAGGTATATCATACAATCCCTGGTCATCCTGAGTCTCACTACAAGAAGATGCTGGCCTTGGAGGAGGCACCATGTCATAGATATCTTGTGAGGATCTGTTACTGGCCTGAGAGACTGGACGTGGCAGAGGTACAGCATCATAGTCATCTCGTGAAGGTGACAAAAGTCGACCTGTTGATTTCACTCGTGGTGAGGAAGAATGAGTGGGGAAATTGAATGGTCGAGGAATGGGTACATCATCATAATTTTCCTCTGTTCCTGGAGTACGAGGAACTCTCTGGGGACTTGGTAAAATGTCATATGGCTCTTGAGATACATATCTTGGGGTAGGTACCACATCATAAGTTTCAGATGGACCCCCAATTGTGGCCATATCCTGTCTTGGTGATACACCAGATGGGGAGTGCCGCCCACTAAGTACACCATGAACATTCACAGGACATGTTAGGCTTCCAATTTGCTCTGACTGCCTCCTTTGTTTATCATGGTAAACTTGAAGGACTGGTGAAGGGTCTGGAGGATCACTGTTTGACCTGCTTTTTTTTCTTTCGTCAATTATGTGTTTGGGAATTGAGAGTGGACAGGGGCCTGTTGGGGATGTGACACTTGAGCTAGATGATGAAATGCTAGAAGGAGAACCAATAGGACTTGTTGGCCGAAGTCTAGCAGCAATTGGCTGTGAATGTATTGGAGATGGCTGGGGTGTGTTTCCTTTCTGGGGTGAGTTAACAACTAAAAAAAAAAAAAACATCAAGAAATAAGTAACAGTTAATTATATAACAAGCAATGATTTGTTTGTTCACAAAAAGGAGAAAAAACTATTCAAAAGTGAAGCTGTTGGAACAAAGTTGTGATTCTTTAAAACTGCTTTACTTACAAGGCTTTCATCATTTTTGTTCTCACTGATTCTATTCATTTAATTTTGGACTCAATGTGAGAATATTCAGTCACTAAAAAGAATCAAAAAAGTAAATCATGGAGAAAGTGTACCAAAAGTTTCCCAACAGTGTTAGTTTAACACCATTAGGTCTCACTTGAGACAAGACAAGACAAAGAGTTTATTTAACTTTGAATTTGTTGATAGCAAAATTGCTAAATAAATATCTCCAAAGAAAATAAATCTATAGTAAGTAAGCAAGTAAGTAAGACTTTATTTAATGAGGGTAACATTTGACAGTAATAAAACTGATAACCTATAAAAATAATTAATGTACATCAATAGGTGAAATAAAGAGATAGATACATAAAAATTATATAAGATAAAAATCAAACATTATAGATAAAAATATACATGTATGTACAGGTAATTTCAGGGTTTAACATTTGTCACAAAAAGAACAGCATTCATTATCCAGTTGAACAGTGCACCTTTGAGGGCAGCCAGAGAAGTAGAATTATATACATTGTATGATATCAAAATGAAGACAACCATACTTTGTTGTATTTACACTAACTTGGAATAACTAGTCAGCCTTTGCCTCGTCAACTGGTGCTGGTTTGAAATATATGGTTTGAAATTATGTTTTAAAAATATCTAACCTTGATTATCATCATCTGTCCTTGAAAATCCACAAACATTACATATTTTAGCTACCCAGTTTTCCATGTCCTCTTGTGTGTCTGCCACAAGATAATATGTTCTTGTCTCCATGGCAATACTGAACACATTCTTGAATTTTGTGTTAGCTAAATGTGACTCAACAGACTTGCAATTCACCAAGTTTAGTGCATCTTTTATTGGTCGTTTCTCTTTATCACTCTTATAGTACCGAAGTTTTCCATTTTTGTGCAAAACAAAGAAGCGTTTCTGCCACTACAAAAGACATAAAAAACACCCATGTTAGAACTGAGCGAGAAGCATGATCCAATAACATATTATTTCGACTGTATTGTATTCAGTCAAATAACAGATTGTCAGTCAATTCATTAACCACAATGAAACATAACAACCCTAAATTAAGGTTAAATTATCAAATGATTATATCAATTTTTTAAGATGAAACAGTGAAATAACATGTTTGCTACAAATGACTTCTTACAGGAGCCTGCAAATGTAAACAATTCAGGAAAACAAAACAGATCAACCCACAATTTACATTAATGCACAAGTAATTTGAGAGGGCCTTTGTTTCTGAGGGAAAAGAACTAATTAAGAAAAGAAATTTTGACTAGCAAGATGATGCTTCAAACTGAACTTGATGAAAAACAGCCAACAGCAAATATTGTTGAGTGAGAGAAACCACCTACACATACAAAAAGTGTATGCAAATTACATATCAAGGAAATACTTGTCTAAATGCCACACAATACTGACCTAATTATTTCCTCAAGCTCATATCAACTGTCATTTAAAGTAGAATAATGACAAAGAAATTAAGAAAAGAACATAATACAAAAATAACAGCATTTCCTTGAAAACTGAGCTGGGAATGACTCAAACTCTAAACTGAGCAGGAATCCAGATAGACATTAAGTATTTATCACACCCTACAGACAAATTTTATGTCAAGTTTTAGCTAACAAGAAAGTTGACCATTAGGTTATGCAGTAACTTACAAATTTTAGCTGCAATGAAATAGCTCTCTGAAAAATAATAGATCACATACTGCATAAGTCCAGCTTAGAAAATGAAAAAGGAGTTTACAAAGAATTTCCTTCTTCCCTATTTATTTATTTACTTTTCCTTTCCTATGTTGGAAATTTTCAACAATTTTTACGCTTAAAAACAAATTAGTAAGTTCAATATTCAAATTTCTTACAATATACAGTAAACACGTTAGCAACAACAAACGTAGAAATTGAAAGGTTGACATCATTTTTCAGAAAACGTAGTAGAGACAAAGCGAGCAAACACAAGTTACCGCAGTAAAAATTTCCAATCCTCCTTTCCTGAAAGGACGAGAATATTTCGACTTCTGATATTGCTAGTCAGGAGTGTCATATTGCAAATTTATGCATTTGTGTTTTCAATAAACCCACTATTACAAAAGCCTGCCAGCTGACAAGTTGAAACTCATACGTTTTAGAGAAACTTTGCCCTCGTGTACAGATTAATCATCTTAACAAACACGACACTCGGTAGTAATTATATCTACATTAACAAAACCATTGAGTTAAACTTAATCATATGACAGACGTTTGCAATGATGGAAATTTCTGCGCTTCGCGATGAGAATTGTTGACGATAGAAAAGAGGAATAATTCCAACAAGGACAGAACGATCGTTCAGAACTTTCAGTATTCGCTTCATTGTAACGGGAAAACCTGGTGACAAAATTTGCCGTTCGAAAGAATTCAATAATTAAACTGATGGCCCACGGAAGTCGTATCAACCCGAACACCTCATAGATTACGCGAAATGCCACGAACATCTTAGTCATTTATCATAGTCTGTTGTTTGAAATATATGCCTTGCAAAATTCCGAATTATCATAAGGTAGTTAAAATCAGTAAAACCTCAAACATAGCAAGGTTAGCATGCAGGAAAGATTCTTTAGATCAGCTCGCCTTTGTGATAAAAGCCCCTTCCGAGCAAAGATCGAAGACGATCAGCCTACACCGTAACAGATGGAAAAGTCCCTGGTCAGGCAACGTTCAAAACTGCTTCAGGCTAGGAACGGAACTGGGTGATAATGAAACATTCCGCTTATTAAAGTAGTCAGGATGTACCTCAAAGGCTTTAATTCTTGATAACGACCAAATTAATGCACTCATATGTAAACTTACAAATCGACCGTAGATATCGAATAATTTCTCGGCGTTTCGCACAACCACTTACCGAGCTGACTTTAAATTTGTTTTCTGGTGGCGATTTCCGCAGATATCCTGAGATCATAATATCTTCATCGTCCATTTTCGTCATGAATACGTCTTGGTTCTTGTTTGTATAGCAGCTTGCATTGACAGTGTCTGTACCATCAAGCGAAACGGGCACTCAACTCAGCAAGAATTCACTACCACTCAATATTCAACACGGAAGTCACCCACATTAACCAAGAAGACTAAGGCGAGTCTCTGATTGGTCAATGAATGTCACATGGTAAAACAATTTCGTGGTCTTTCAGCTGAGGTCACAGGGTGCCAGCAGACAATCCACGCATTTCAAACTCCGATAATTTCCTGACCAAAATTGGCAAAAGAATTCCGATTTAAACCCTCCATGATTTACACAGATTTACGAAGAAAACTTTCAGAGAGGTCGAAAATTGATACACGAATTTCAATGTGCCCATGTATTTCACAATTTTCGTGGCTGGAACTAAAGGGTGTTGCTAAAGCGACGTGCAAGTTTGATTACACCATCTTTAGTCATATAAGTTAAATATTATGTTATTTTTTATTTGATAACTGTTATTATGTTTGTTGCTTTTCACAAGCCTAAGAGAAAATTTCACTTTCATTGTGACAGATCCAATGCACTATTGGCCCTAAAGGGAAACTTTGGCTATTTTCAAAAACCCATCCTGTTTACAAGTCAAATTTGCGAAAATTTCCCTTTCCATGTTGTCTCAGGCGAATTTTAACAATGAAATTCGAGAGTTTTAGTGACGTCAAAAAATTCACTTTTTAGATTCTCTCCCATTTATTTGATTCGTCTCTCAAACCGGGAAAGAGAACACGTCTCTCTAACTGTTATTATACAGCTTAGAAGCTTCATGCTCGCTTGGGCAACTCAAGCAAATGCGCACTTTTCGCGTACGTCTTTTCATTGCGGCTGGCATCGATAAAGAGAAACCGACTGTTTATGCAAAAACTGAGGCTTGGAGAAAGGAAAATCGAGGAAAAAAGCACACACGAGGAAGAATCGATCAACGGATTAAGTTTCTTTTCCTCTTTGTTTTTGACGATTTTTGTCACGTCCGAACGATCACAAGTGTGCGCGCACAATTGAGGATATATTTTTTAAAGGAATTCGAGAGAGGTTAAGTCATGACCTTTCACTAATATTACCAAAGCTTATGTATCCAAGTCACGGCTCTTCACGCCATCATAACTTGCAACAAGGAAACAAAGTCGTAATCAATCTGAAACGCCTCTGAAAGCGTTTTTGCTTGCCTAAGCAATCTGCTTTTCTTTCTGTGTTCCTTGAGACGGCCTGCGGTGTCGATCGAGCAGTAAGCAAAACCCACTGACAGATGAATGTGTACGGTTTACGTGAACATGAGCGGGAAAGGTCTTGGACTTCAGTCAAAGTCAGCCCAATATATATGTAAACATAATATTGACATACAAGTAATGGCTGCACGCCAAGGCAGAGGACAGAATCAGTCGACTGCCGACAGAGCTATTATAATTTATACGTCGTCGAGCACGCGTGAAATAGACTGGGATCGGGAGGCACCAACACAACCTGAGGTAATCACATTTTTCTGTAATTTGAATAGTTTTCCTAAAAAAAATAGTTTAAGGTCAGTAAAACATAAGTTATTAAAGCACGTTACCTGAATAAAAGCTAGTTTGGGCGAATTTTAAGTTTTCGCTTGTTATTCTTGTTTGTTTCTTTATAACTAGTTTCTGCGCTCATTTCAGTTTTGGCCAGACCAGACCAGACCCAAACTCAGCACAATTTGCTTTTGCTTTTTGTTTTCTGTTTTTGTTTATTTATTTATTTTTTATTTTCAGTTTGCATATTAACAGTGTCTAAGTGAAAAATAGTCCAATTTCGGGCCTGTTTGATTTTAGTGATTTGCTTTGTTATATATTATATATTTTTTAACGAAAACTGTTGTTTGCTTTTGCGCCCTTATATTTTGAGTTCTTACTCAATAAACACCGATCCTATCATCCAACCATAAATTGTATGACAAAAATGTTTCTCAACAATGTTCGCGTGTTTGACGGGCTCAGTTTTCCTTTGTAAGCATGTTTATCCGTCTTAAGATTTCGTTAGTTTTTTTATCAGGTGAGGTCGATCCTTAAAATAGTCCCTAACCGGATAGATAGACATAATATGTTTGGAAAATGTAAGATAACTTAAGTGTGAGCGTAAGAATGAGTTCTTAATAGTTAGCGTGCGCCAATGCTAACGGTGAAATAATTAGTGGATTAGAATTCATACTTTCCTGGCCGTTAAAGAGCTCATGATGTTTACAGATGTATATTGATTCACTGACCTACCGGTATTTCTTTAAACTCAATCAGGCAATCAGCTTTTAATTCCTTGTAATTATACCGGAGGCACTTTGCCGTCTTATGAATATCAAAGGAACCCCCAATTTATGCAGATCAGACACTTCACAACCGAGGACAAAAGGAGAGGGGCTTGGGAGACAAGTCGGGCGAGATGCACCCAACACTGTGTTTTGATTGGCTACCCAAACCCATATTGCCCGCTCGAGATTGCTTTGATCCCGCGGAAAGAAAAAGATCGCATGGAGCACTGACTTGCAGAGTTCGTAATTTTTAGACAATTTCGGCAATGGAGTCGCAAAAAGTGGCGCACCACTCAAAACGAAGAAAACGTAAACGAGTTTCGTGAGACTTTTGGGCTACAAAATCCGGAAAGTGGCATGGAGTTTGTTTGCTTTATAATAGATTGCTTATTGACCAAGCTTGAAGTCAATATGGCTGAATATTGGCCTCCTTTTTTTTTTTTTTTTGGATGTTTACAGACATCAACTTCGTCTAGGTCCATAAAAACGCAAAAAAAGAACTTGGCCAATATCTACCTTGACCACACGCTTGGTCAATGCACATATGAACAAATATATATCCATAGAATTCTATTTATGAGTAAAAAAGGTATAACACTCAAGTCGCATATACACTCAAGTAGAAGATTTCGTAAGAAACTGATATCATTGCTCCAAGTATTTACCATTGCACCAAGTATTTTCTATATTGGTGTCATCCTAAACAAGCAAAGCCATATGGGTCGCTCAGGTATTCAATAATGGCCATGGGAACATTAATTATCAGTTGTTTATATTATCATATACTATATATGTTTAGGGGCAAGGATTCGAGGGGTTGATCGCATCTTCATAAGCATGTCAAGAAAACTGGGATGCGTTGAAGTTTATAAGTCATATGCATAAAAAGTAGTTACTTCAATTTTGAGGCTAGTCTTTCTTCTTCTTCCTTTTTTTTTTTTTTCCCGAAACTGTTGGTATGATAAACAAATCGTAATTAGCCCTGTTAAGGGGGTCTCAATGGAGCGAAGATTTCCACGGCTGACAGTCAAAATTTTGACCATTTTACGGCTAACGGTTGATTTCTTTCATTTGCAGTTGAAAGATGACAGTTAACCTTAGCTTTTTTACGACTAACTCAATCGAGTCCCTCTGTTAGATTCATACCAGATTCGGGTGGAACAGTCATTACACCTTCAACTTTAATTTTGAAATCATCTTATTTCGCAGGTTAAAGAAAACATCCCACACAGCTTGTCAGAACTGATTCATCCAGTTTTAGCCCATGCCACGCTGTCGGTGTTTACGAGCACAACACGGAAGCAATTTTAAATCCTGCCGAAAGATATTCGCCTAGCAACTAGACTAAAGACTCGCGCCGTACGCAAAACTGAAACCAGGCCCGACTTCGTCCCTTAGAATTTCCCACATTCCAGCCGGGCAGTTTCCTGTTTTCTTTAAGTTCTCATTGGCTGCTTGTGATAGGGTGTAATTCCGACTGGAAGCCGGAGAATCACAGCAACCAATCAAAACAAAGGAAACAATTTCGTGGAGCCAAGGAAAGAAATTGCCTAAAGCGCAGGAAAATGCGCGTGACCAAGTCGCGATTGGTTTTTAGTTTTTCACCTGATTGGCTAAAAGGATGGGGTGAGTGTTCTAGACCAATCAAAGCCCAGGAGACCAATGCACGCCCCAATCACTTACAAGTTAATTTAAAACAGCTCTGCTTTCCCGTGTTCTCATCAGCCGGTGTGAACGACACTTCTTCGAAATTTGTTCCAACAGTCACCACCTTTCAAACATATTTGAAAATATGTATTGCATTAGAACTGCATCATTTCTATTATCATTCCTGTGTTTCAGTATTCTAAGTCAAGAAAATCTCAATTCTGTACCATTTAGCACAATGCACTTGTTTCACGAGAGAATGGTTAACATGACTGACGATATCCTAAAATGCATTTTTTCAAACTTAGATACAATCAATCTTCAACTCCATAGTTTGCAAGTCATCGAAAAGCACAGTATTTCAGATCTGACTCTGACCTTTCTGACCAAATTGTAATTATTTTTCATTATAGTTAAACTATTCTAACACAATAAAGTGTCGTCAAGATGATAACGATGATAAAAGTTCATGGCAAGTGGCATCATGATGACAGAAGATAACAATGGCCATGGCCACGCCAAGATTGAGTAACGAGCAAATCAATAACAGTCCAATCAACCCTCCGTCTTCCTCTGCAAGAAATCGGAAAAACAAATAGCAAAGGTTTTCATGCATCTACTATAATAATTACTAACCCTTCCCAGAAGTGATTGACATGTAACTTCTTTGTATAATATCCATAAGTATTATCCAGCAAAGAAGGGATGAGAATACTCAAACTTATATAGCAAAAGTTTTTATCTTGATCCTACGCCAAATTCCTACATCTAATTTAAAAGGAAATGTGTAGTAGCCAGAGGAGAGAATTATCAATCAGATCTTGAGAGTGAAAGGGTTCAGTAAATCAGTTATGAGAATTTGGTGTTAGATCAAGAAAACAACTTCTACCCAATAAGTGGGAGTCTCCGTATTACCTGTATGGTACCTTAAGGAGAAGTTACGTGAACTGTCAAACACTTCTGGGAGTTAAAAGAATCAGACTTAATCTTGTCCTTGGCCATAGGTAACTAACATGCAGAGTCCAATATCCCTGTAACAATAGCGGGTTTCCCACGCGCGCTTTGCGCGCGTGGGGCAGAGCCCCATACCCATGGAATATGGTCAACCTCTTTTCGTTTGGTTGTCACGTGACTGACCGAGCGTACAGCTGTACGTACGTACGTACGTGCTTTCAGATTGCATGGGTAGGGTAGGGGAGACTATCAAAACGAAGGGAGGAGTGTCTAAGGCAAGTCTAGGTAAATGCACATCTTTTATGTTATCATTAATATTACGAACTTGGGAGCTCCGCTTTTAGGCTTGGCTAAATCTATATATTAAACTCCTCATTCACATGCAAAAAAGGCAGCAGAAATCATCCAAGGAGCCTGAAATTGGCTGCCACATTGTCTTCCCTCTACTTGTGAAAGCTAGAAGGTCTTGGTAAAGTATTCTATGAGGATATGTAAACCATATGAAGCTTAACTGTTTACAGTTGAAACAGTTAATCCCAATAGAACATGATATTAGATTCAACATAAAAACTATGTTGGAGGAGTGGAAAGTGCTTGCACAGCTAGAGCACTTCTGCTTGCAAGTCTAAGAGTAACCTGTTCATTTGATCATAATCCTCTGAGATATTAGATGAAAAAAAAAACAACAAACAAACAAACAAACAAACAACAAAAACAATCAGATTATTGCACCATTAACTAGTGTTTCTCTTGCTTAGGACAAAAAACCTCACCTTGCATTGGAGCCTCTGGTTTAACAGGTCTGGTTTCCATGAATTCCTCTTGAGCTATAAGAAAGAAGTAATAAATAATCTTGTTTGGAAAGCTTTTAAAAATCAATTATCCCAGTTTAAATCAATCGCACAACAATTAGTTCTACCAACTGACAGGACTTTTGTACCTTTCAGAGCCTTGTCAGTTTCTTCTGCCATCAATTTTTTCTGTCTTTCCATGGCTTCATATGCTTCTCTTTTCAGTTGTTTTTCCTGTAGTTTTTGCCTCTTTCTTAGTTGTTTTTGCTCTTGCTCTTTCTCTTTCTCGAGTGCTTTTTGCTCTAAAGTAAGAACAATCCAGTGTTAATGATGACATCCAGACATCAATATTCATATGCTCCTTATTTTTTTCTTCATATTTCCTTTGGTACTGATAAGGAGAATTTTCGAGGAAAATTCCATTAACAATCAAAGCTTCTTAGTTTGGCAGTCATATCTTATATTCTCACGATCCTTTTAATTTCTATGAGTGACACAAGAAGGAGTTTCTCCTTACAATACCAGCACAATATCAAACAGAGAAGTGATGAGAATCAAGAAAAAAATAAACTAGTGGGGTAGTAGTTGATCGAATGCTTAATTCTTCACACTTATATCAAAACAATTGTATGGCAGACACTAAGGAGAATTACTATTGAATTGATGATTTAGCAGTAATACTATTAGGAGAAACTACATGCTGGTCAACTCTTAGAGTTTCAAGGGTTACTACATACAGTAGAGTAGTAGAGTAGACATCGTTTATTTATACAGGATAGCCCCTTCAGTGTAATAAACACTGGTATCAATGGGGGTCCTGTTACCCACCCACACCACCCCAGGGGAGGACATCCATCACACAGTGATCTCGTGCATGGGAAATTAACATCTCCTGCCCCTAACCCTGCAGGAGACAGGACCTCCATTTATTCGTCCCTATCCGAGAAGACTAGAATATCTAACCATTTCTTGATGTTATAGAAAGGTAGCATATTCCTCTCAATTATTTTAAGACCCTGAGTGTTGGTCCGGCCGGGGCTCGAACCCTCAACCTCCCGCACAACAGTCCAGCCCTCTATCCATTGAGCTAACTGGGAGGCGGTTAGTACAACAATTTATTAGCTATGCAAACAAATCACATGCTGATCAAGGCTTAACATTAAGAGTATTTGAGGTTCTACATCAATCTTTTGGATCTGTTTCAGAAAGATAACCTTAAAGTTTTTTCTGAGGATTAATTAAAGAGATCTAGATACAGGAGGGGGTGAAATCAGGTATCAAAAAGCAGAGAGAATGAGTGTAGTCACTTCAAATAACTGTTGCATTTACAATTTGAGCACAACAATACAAGGTTATCAATTGTCTAACTGTTGATGCATCTTAAGTACAGGCATGCTTACTTACCTCTCTCTAATAATAGCCTTGCTTGATTCTCTTGTTCTTCATTAGCAGCTAACACTTTAAGATATGCCAGCACCTGATGATTGTTATGAGATTTGATACACCAGTATATTCAAATTATGCACTAACAGATGTTTGTCTCTGAACATACTGTGAAGCAGTCTTTTATGCACTGGTCTACTCTAAGAAATCATGACATCTTTAAATAGCATTAAGTTTGGATTAAAAGGCTGTGGTATAACTCTTCAAGACACCCCCTTTAAGCCAAATGACCCCCCAGCACCTCCGACAGTTACCATGATGACAGTTTAGCCATTTACAAGAGAGGCAGTAACCTTCTGGGTAGCACACAAACCTTAAGACTGAGAAGTGCCTTTCCCTCAAATTTTATATCTAATAAATAAATATACATGAAAAAATTTCTCAGTTCTGATTGGTTAAGATGAATGCAGTTTTCAGTTAATTCAGAGCAGAAGAGAGTTAATTCAGTGCAGAAGAGAGTTAATTCAGTGCAAAGAAAGAAACAAACCAGACATTCTGATTGGTCAGAATGATTGGTCAAAGTCAATGTCAAGGTCAATGTCACTTGCAGGGTTTGAATAAATTATTTTTGCACGTGATGCGCGTGCTCTTCTTATGCATAGTTATGAGAAGCTGCCTCGTATTTTTTCATGTATATTATTAATAGATAATCACATTATTTTGTCGTGCAATTTGGAATAAATAAGCACTTGTAAATTTTTTCAAAGACCACAAATTGCACTCGCCCTACGGGCCCATGCAATTTTGTTAGTCTTTGAAAAAATTTACTCGTGCTTATTTATTCCAAATTGCACTCGAAATCATGTGATTACCTATACAAATAAAATTGAACCCCTTAGGACACAAGATCTAGTTGCTAATCCTCCCCTTCAGCTGCTACACATTTCCTTGTAAGTTGGTTATGAGAGATGGTCACTAGACCAAGGTAACAACTTCTACCTGATAAGTTTGAGTATTCTCATTACATGTTTGCTGGATTATGTTTGGATATTGTAGGGAGAAGTTACATGTTAATCACTTCTGGGAGTTAAAGGTAGGGCTCAACACCAATGGCAGCCAACTAGCTATGCATGGACTGGTAGAAATTCAGTTTTTGCTAGTGGTTTTCAATTTCCATGAGCCAGTTTGTGTGACAATCTGTGCTTAGAGTTTAGTTTGTAAGGCATGATTATCGAATCGCGTTACACAAGGTAATGTCACGCCATGCAACCACATGCTGACATCGGACACCGTTAAGGTATATGAACTTTGCATGTACGAGACGGGTCGTTTGTTTTGCTAAGCATGTGCTGCTAGCCGTAGTTTTGATTGCCGAATAAAAGCTGTTACAAAGCCTCAACCTCTGCATCTTTCAGTTTGGCTATTAATAAACAAACTGAAATTGTTGTAACATCTAAGTTGTCACCAATCACTTGTCTAGTAAGTTGAAAAGTTGGTGTCAAGTCCTGTAAAGGGTTAAATTTTTGTTATGAAATCAAACTTACAGAAGAGTTGGTGTACTTACATTTATAGCACATTGTCTACATTCTTCTTCCTTCAAACAATTTCCAATGATTTCTGGAAATAATGTCTGCATAGGATTATTCTTCAAGTCCAGCCATCTCAGCTCCCTAAGGCTTACACAACTCACTGGCAAGGAGCTTAGCTGATTACTATAGAGATCAAGTCGCTTCAGCTGGCTAAGATTACCAAAGTCCTTTGGAAGTTCTGTGAGAGCATTCTTGCTTAAGTCCAGCTGTACCAAGTGTTGTAAGGTGCAAAATGCCTCCTAAAAATGTAAAACGTAACATAAAGCAAGGCTGTGGTCTAGCAGTGCCCAGTGGCCCCTGGCGCCTTATGCCTCGAGCTCTTGGGTGACTCAGGAATTTTAGCATTTTCATACAAAGCATATGCTCAGTACCCTGGATTTCACAGTTGCAGAGCACTGGGCTCCATTCAATTTTCCTTAGAGCACAGCCTTGTAAAGGGATTACAGTGGAACCCCTCTGAACTGGACCCTCATTAAACTGGAATCCTCTCTCTACCAGACCTTTTTTTTGGCCCCAAAATCGCTGTTATAAATTTTCTCTATTTTTAACCTCAATAAATGGGAACCCCTCACAGTCCAAAATCACATACTGACAAAGAAATCAACCTCATTAAACCGGACGTGAAAGTTTTAAGCTTGCCACCAATTGCAAAATCAAACCACACGTTTTTAAACCACACGTTTTTAAACGTGACTAAAATTAGAATTGTAATCATGCAGCTGTGAAATCCCAATCAGAAGTGAGAAGTGTGCATTGGATAATTACTCATTGTTCTATCGGTATTGAAGCAAAATATCTAAAGTAGAAATGCATAATGTTGTACATAGTTTTGGAATTGTAATATAGCATTTTTAATTTAATTTTAGCTTATTTTCTCCAATATATTAGCTCCACAGGTACTCTGAAAATTTTGAGCATAAATAAAGTATATGTGTGTATGTATGTATGGATGCATGTATGCATGTATGTATGTATGACAATCATACCGCTGTTGTTGGGTTGAATGAATGACAACAATAGGGGTCAGGTTAAGAGACTATCATGTTGCGGGTGAAATCGCTTGCGAAAACAAATGAAGTTGCAAACATCACTATGTCTGAGAGACCAGTGTTACTGTTACAGAAGAGAATTGAGTTGATCAAATGTGCAGAATCAGTGCCTAAACCAGAACTGAAGGCTCTAAGCAGTAGATTTGCCATCGGTAAATCAACTGTAGGTGATATTTTAAAGAGGAAAGAAATCTACAAATGGTTTAATAGCAGTGATCATATTACCCTGTGTGTAACACTGAATTTTTTTTTATTAATTAAATTAAATGATGTTCTTTGAAAAGCTTCCTTGTGATCCATGTTGTTACTTCCTTTACTGATGTGCTTTATTAGTGCTTTAATGTGTACCATGTACTGGAACTTACAGTCAGACAGTACATTATGCTGCATAAAATTGCCTTATGGGTAAAACTTCAGTACACTGGACACCCTTCTAAACCAGACATTTCCTCTGGTCCCAAGGGTGTCCGATTTTGAGGGGTTCCACTGTATTACAATTTTTTGTAGCAATCTAATTAAAAGCAATCAATATTTTAAATGAAGTCCCCATTGATGAATTGAGTTGTAGCTAAGATACTAGTGTAGGTAAATAACATTTATACTAAAACAAAGTGGCCTACTTAGCTGGAGCTATTTACAGTTCCAATGGTGTAAAGCAACAAGATTACTACTCTCTCCAAAATGGGATGCTAATCCATTGCAAGAATGCCCCCAGCCCCCCTCCCCAGCATTTCATCAAGCTTCCCCGACAACTGGCAGGTACCCATTTGTGCTTCTGGGTGAAGAGAGGCACTGTGAAAGTAAAGTGTTTTGCCCAAGAACACAACCCAATACCACAGCCAGATTTTGAACTCAAATTGCTCAACCAGAGTCCAACACTATATTCAGTAGGATACTCTGTAGCCTATAAGTTGCTGTTTAACTAATGAGGATATCTTGTATTTCAAGATTTGTTAGAAAAAATGGGACATACTAGAAACAGCACTGGAAAAGTTGATATCTGAATTTCCTAGTAGACACAATGTTGGATCCTATTTCAAGGAGTCCCACGAAGATCACCCAGATAAAAGAGGAAACCATAAAGCTTGCCATGATCCAAAATGGATATACACATACAACAAAATATTTATACATCTGCTTTAATTTTTCCTCACTTTAACTACACGGTACATGTACTTCATTCCCATTTAGGCGGATTACTTTCAATTTTATACTATATTTTCGACAATTAAACGATAATTTTTTCCACTAGTGGCACTAGTGGTGGTTTCCTCAAGTCAGAGAAAGTTAGGACTAATGGGAGTGGCAAAATTTAAGGATCTCTGAAGTATTTTCTTTTTTTTTTAATGTTCTTATAAAGTCTACGAGCCACAAGCTAAATAATTAGATTCATGTAACTTGAAAAATGCATGCATTTGGTTTAAATTAACAAATTTCTTACTTATAATTAATGTTTATCTTATCCATTCTCATTCATCCTTATTTCTTTTCTTTTTTTTTTTTCACCTATCTCCGAGAATCTTTATCACTACTTTAATGAAAGTATGTTATTGTTTTTTCTTGGTGATGAAGGTACATTTTTACAATTCTGTGACTTTTAAAATGATAAAATCACTTCAGCTCTAATCTTAAAGCCCCTTGAAATCACCTCTCATATGTGTGGGTGACCAGTAGGTTAATTTTCATTAAATAAATATAGAGCTAGCAATTACTTTCAAGCAAAACAGGTGCTTCCATTTTGGTAAATCAACCAGGAAATATATTAACGGGGATGAAATTCTCAGGACTAATAGCCACCGTCTCCTCCCTCCCATGCGATTCGAGTGCCACTCTTACCACCTTAGGAGCAGTGGCAGTTCTAGCCGTTTCCAGTATAGAACAAAATGTTTTGGTTCACGTTTTTTCCCAGCAATGGCGAAAATTAACTAATCATAAGGTCTAGTTATCTCTATTATAGTATTTTATTACACGACTCGGGCAGTCAGAGGGCCAATAACTAAAATCAACCAATCAAAATGCTCTATTGCCGGTCCAATATTCTCTAAGTATTGGACCGGGCACTGTCCCGAATGGTCCCGAATGATACCGCACTTGTGTCCCTTTGAACTTCAGTCGTATAATAAATCTCTTATTAACAAAGCTTGCTCGGGACCGTACTGGAAGAATATCGGCCCTCGGTCTTTTTTGTACGGACCGAATGTACGGACGAAATGTACGAAATGTACGGACCGAGCGCAGCTCCGTCCGTACATTTTTTCTTGACAGTACGGACCGAGCGCAGCTCGGTCCGTACTGTCAAGACCTCAGGCTGATATTCTCCCAGTACGGCCCTCGCGCTTGGTTAATAAGATACATTTATTTCCCTCTGAATTGTAAATTATTTATAATACCCTGTAATCTCAGTCCCTCAAAAACAAATATAATTTTACCTATTCCCATAATATATATGTAAAGACACTGTAATTCATAATTTTATGCCACCGTGTGTAGTTTTTAATAAACCATCATCAAAAAAAAAAAAAAATTATAAATACCCTTCAACCATTTTTTCTCACAATGTATAATCATGCTATCTTATAATACTTCAACCTCACTGCCTGTTAATTGACCCTTTAACTCCCAGAAGTGATTAACCTGTAACTTCTTCCTATAATATCCATACATGATCCAGCAAACAGGTAATGAGAATACTCAAACTTATCAGGTAGAAGTTGTTACCATGACTGAACACCAAATTCTTATAACCAGTTTACAAGGAAATGTGTAGCAGCTAGAGGGGAGAATTCATAATCAGATCTTGGGAGTTAGGGGGTTAAAGACTGGATGTGATCAGAACGTTTGATAACCTGACTCTACTACATAAGACTAGAAGTTGAATGTTCATTTATTGATCACCACTTTAAGAAGCTGTTAAACAAATTCTCCTTTTCAGCACCATGGGGAATGTATAGAGAACTTGCATACTGATACAAACATACATACATACATACATACTTAATTGCATAGCACCCACCCACTTCGGGACTCTTCCGCCATACATGAATATCAAAATGTTAGGTTACAAAATTAAGATAAAACTATTTAAAGATAAAAATATTAATGAATTATGAAAACAGCCCACATTTCAATAATGACATAACATCTCATGATCTGTGAATTACAAATATTTGTAAAAATTTTCTTTTTAAAAAGGTTAAGGGTTTACTAATTGTTTAGGTGTGGAGGTTTGGAAGGGGATTATCTTCAAGCAAAGGCCAATCCCTACTATTGTCTGCATGCTTGTTTATTTAAGGCAATGCCAGCATGTTGCTAAGGAAAGTTAATCATTATTAACAATAAAACCCTTGGTCTGAAAATTTTCTTTAATCAAAATAATTTTAATTATGCATTCAGATCTATCTTAAAATTTTTAATCAAAATAATTTTAATTATGCATTCAGATCTATCTTAAAATTTTTAATCAAAATAATTTTAATTATGCATTCAGATCTATCTTAAAATGTGTCACCAGCCCACATATTCAGCTGTCATTTATTCTGGCTGAAATTTAACTTGTTTAACAACCCGAGCAGTCACTAATAAAATATTTTAAATAGGCCTGCACAGAAGGAAAAATATTCATTTTAAGCACAAAGTGTGAATTACGAAAGAAGGGCTCATGTACACTAATTGGAACATTATAATCACGAATTATTTCTGGCGCCAGGAGATCATTTTCCCCGACAAGGAAAACAATTCCGACTCCCATTTTTCAATTAAGCAGCTGGTCATTTTAATCGCCGTTTGAATGCGCTGGATGTGGACGCAACGTAATACAAACACTGCAGCGGATATGACAATTGACATGTAATCGAGTTTTCGAACCTGGATGGAGTCTTCGTCAGAGCTCACATGTATGAGTTTGTTAGCAACATTTCCAATTACGATTTATTTTTTTATATATTTGCCATCTACACTACGAATGTTAGATGTAGACGTCTCGGTAAAAGTTGTTTTCAGGTTTAAGTATCGCATTAGAATGCAAATTACAAAATTCTCACCGGGAGTGTAGTCAAATGGTTACAGGATAAATCCACAATCGTCGCTCTCGGCAGGGAGGCCTATGGAGCTAAAACATTCACAGAGAATGACTAATTACTGGAAAAGACACGCAAATTATTGCTTATAAAAGACAAATAAAAACAACTATATCAAAAATTATGTTACACAGATTTGAGCGCTACAACACTGTTGCAGGAAAATCAATTGTGGGATAATCAACACGCTAAGACTAAACAAAAGTGACCGAACGATTCTATCATTTCGCAGATGTCACAATATGTTTCTTTACACTTAAAAAAATATACGAAACTATTTATATGTTATGCTAGCAACCTCCTACATACATTGTTCGTCATTTAACACACCATCAATCTATCTAAAACCTTGAAGGTACTTGATAATCGTCTTTAGAGTCTATCAACCTTTTTCTCGATAAATCCTAATGGTCAAGTTTCCCGCAGATAAGGAGACTAGGAGTAATTTAGCAGAAAGCTACATGCCCATTCATCCGACGAATCAAAAGAATCGAAAAAGGAAGAAAAAATTCAGGACATACAGCTAGCACCATAAAAATCAATGGAAATTTGCGCGCGGTCTCTAAAGTCACCAATCTTTGATCGGAAGTTAGAAACGCGTACCATTTCTCGTATTGGTACTTTTGCCAAATTGCACAGACTCAAGTCTAGTTCCTCTCCATCTAGTTTGTCCTTGATTTCCTCTTTAGACAATTTTCTGGTCATCTTTGACGGCCTACTTAACTTTCACATCCCCCAAACAGCTGAGAAGTGTACTCGTCATCCCAAACGCGTCTGAGCCCGTTGTATCTCCACTGGCAAGCGGTGTGAAAGAGCAGGTAGCTCCCAATCTTTTTAAAATCCTACGCTGCACGGCCATCGTCTCGCTATACTTGCGGACCATTTATCGCCTAGGAGGGTCGGGAGATTTGGGCGGGGATCACATGATTTTCGAAGGAAAAGGAGGGGATATCAGTCGTCTCTCTGAGAGTTTACAGGAAAGACTCTAGAAAATTAGCTGCCCAAGGGAGCATTAAAATAATACAGAGGCTTATAAGGGGATCTAGTTATTTACCCTCTGATTCTCGTTAGGATCTGGGTACCAAATTACTACCCCTCCGCCACTCCGACGATAAATAATGAACGGTCCATTAGCACATTGTAGAACTAAACCCTCCCTCCTCTAGCTTAGTCTTGACTTACAGGACTATCTCTATTATATTTTGTTGTTGTTGAGTCCTTAATTCATGTCAATTGTCATTTTTCCATGCAGCTCCCAGAGAGACGAAGCGATATAATTTCATGATTTCTGATCATTTTATTCATCATAAATTGACAAAATCATATATAAGTAGGCAAATAAATAATCAAATGAATACATCAAACAAGCATCCGCCGAGACAGAACGGCAAATTTTAGAGAATGAGTGTTAATAAGGGTTGAACAAGCAGGGCAGGATCTTCGTAGGAAAAAGAAGGAGTTACTGTGTCTTTGTTACTTCGCAATGTGAAGACAAAGTGGCCTCATGGTAAGCGCGATAGAGCCGGGGTCGAGGGGTCTGGGTTCAGAGCTTGTCTCGGTCATAGTGTTGTGTTCTTGGGCAAGACACTTTACTCTAACAGTGCCTCTTTTAACCCAAGAGTGTAAATGGGTACTGAAGGACACTCATGGAAACCTGATGACATCCCATTCAGGTGGAGTGGGAAATAACCTAGATGCTTCAAGCCACGGAACGTGGGATTAGCTCCGGCTGCATGAGGTACTTGACTGGAGCAACAAATGTGCCCTTTATTTAGCTTAAACCCTCACAACACAGAAATAACGCGTAATATACAAAAGTACCAGAAAGAAAAGCCCCACCATAGTTTGGCGACTTTGAAGAAGACAAACAGCTAAAAATTAATGCACCAGCAAACGCGGTAGACACAATGCTCAGGGCTAAATTTAACAAATAGTCAGCACCACAGCTAATCTCCTTCGCAACCGTTGGGAGAGGGAGCGTTGTGTGACGAGCCCAAACAACGGCTGCGAAGGAGACTACACCACAGCGTACACTATTGAGTTATGGAAGCACGCGGGAGGTTGCTTAGCACGAAAAGAAGCGTAAGAGTCGCTCGAGGCGATAGTGTACGCTGTGGTGTTGACCATTTGTTTATAACATAACACTGATACATTGTAGCAAGAGTTCCCTACATTGAAATCTTACGTGACCAGAAAAAACAAGCGCGCGGAAACTAATCTTTGCGTTTGCTCACGTCAGCAGCCTACACAGTGAATTGACCAATCAGAGCACGCACTTTACTTTTGGCTATTACGCAAATCAATTCCCTCACAGTGTGATAACTGATAGGACATTTTCATTCACAGTTCTTCTGTTATCATAAGTTCTTACGAAAAAGCTGGCACCACGCGTTTGTCTCCTGAGCCTTCCTCCTTTACCACAGAACAAAATACTTTGAAACTCCCTCTGAAACGCCCGATTCATGACACCATAAATTATTGGATTGATCCAGGCAGAAACACAAGCAAAAACCATTGGCACTGACTGCAAACCAGAAGGAATTTGCAAACCAAAACCAAACTCCAGAATTGTCACGACAATATTGGGCATCCAAGAAACACAAAATCCAAATACGGTGACAAAAAGCACTCGAGAAGTTTTTATTTCTCGTGCACGCGGTGCACCTTGGATGTTTGCCTCTTGTACAAGAGGGACTACAACATTATTGTGCTTCCAAACGACGTGATAGACTCTAAAATAACCGAATAACACCATCAGCATTGATAGAAAAGTAAAAATCGAAAAACTTGTGAAGGCACCAGTTGTAGTATTTTCTTCCTCAAAGGTAATTTTGCAGTAGAGGGCATCTGGGTACCATTTATAATGAGCTTGCGTAGCAAAGTAAAAAGAAAGGAAGAAAAAAAACATAACAATCCAGACGTAAAAAATGGATATTATGGTTTTCTTTTGAGTAAAGAAGTAAGAGTATCTCTGTGGTTTCACAACGCAAAAATATCGATTAATCGACGTTAGAGCTAGGATCCAAAGCGACACCATAGCCCAGTAATTTGTAACAAAGCCAGTGAATTGACAGAATTCGTCACTGAAAGGCCATTTTCGTAATCCAGAAGCCACGACAACAGAAGGAAACACAAAGATGGCTACCATTAAGTCAGCCAGTGCCAGAGACAACACGTACAAATTAGTGACGGACCGTAATCTCCTGTTTTTGTAGAAAGCCAAACAAACTAGCAAATTTCCAACCGGAGACACAACTATAATGATGGCAAACAGGGCTGTGTGTAAAATGACGGCGAGCAAGTTTCTTGAATCTACTTCGTTTTGAACCATTGTGATTGTTTGGGATAAGCACTGAATTTCTCTTTTCTTTTTTCTCTTTTTGATTAGGTATTGCTTAATACTTCACTTTGACACGCAACTGATGTAGAGGGCGTAAATTCAAGTTTTATACTTGCAATGTGTTTATCATTCATTTAACCTTTTGATTAAAACTGAATCCCCTGGGAGAGATAAACATTTATCGCTTTTTTTTTTCAATTTTGAAGTCCATTTACCCAATAGGGATTTAGTAACACCCAGCAGGGGGCAGAAAGGTGGCGAGTCATTAGAAGGCGAACCTGTCCAAAGCTCTGTATGATTCATTCGAACTTTCAATAAATTGGTTTTTAGGGGCCGACCATTCAACTCTTGAAGGGAGGGGGGAGTGGGTGGGTGATTTTAAAAAAAAATTTCCTGCAAGCGCTTGTTGGAAGAAAAAAATTGCATGCAGCCCAAATGTAAAAGAAGAAAAAGGGCATTTGGAACGAAAAAAATATCCTGCACAGCAGATTGCTAGAAAAAAAATTTCTTGATGACCAGAAATCACCCACCCCCCTCCCCTCCTCAGAAGTTAATTGGTCGGCCCCTTACATGATTACTCTACAGGAAAACTGACACAGGTGGAGAACAAAGATTGCAAAATTCCCTAAAATAGTCTACAAAGCGACATAAGGTCAAAAAGAGATTTCATTTTCCTTTCTCCGCAATAAAAAATTTTTATTTGTCTTTTCGAGAAATGGCCGCCACAAAAGTCAACTTGTGCTTTGAGGAAGGCAATTAATGTGTCAGGTTTTGTATGAAAACAGCAGTAATTCTGTATTTACACCTCTTTAGCTTTAGAGCTGCAATAGTAAATATTGTCAGTTCTTTTTATGAAAACAGCAGTAATTCTGTATTTACACCTCTTTAGCTTTAGAGCTGCAATAGTAAATATTGATTTCAAAATAAAGGAATATGTAAACAAGGGAAACGTTGACAGCGCTGTATCCGAATGGCCTGTCACCCTTTTTTCCCCCTGATCAATGATTATTGCTTCCCATTGGTTAAAGGGAAATAACTGTACCAATCTTATTTTCTTTTAGTTCAATATTTGTGCGTCACTAGGAGTTACTTTGCAACAACAAAAAAATGAGGGTATACGTAGCTAATAGTTGGCGTACGACGTTCCGAGAAAGTGCCGTAGGAAGGACTGAAGACCGAGAGAAAAAGGCCACGGTACCTCAGGCTTTCATAAATACACACCTCAGCAGGGAAATACATAGAAATTAAAAGGATTTTGGCACTTTGCTTCAGTATATCATTACAATGGTAGAAAACGAGGAACAAGATTCAAGAGGGTTGCATGCTGTCGTTCTACACACAGCTCTTTTTGCCGTCATGATGGCTCTATCTCTGGCTGGAAACGTCTTGATTTGTCTGGCTTTCTACAGAAACAAGAGTCTACGAACTATCACTAATTACTACGTTTTGTCCCTGGCAGTGGTAGATCTGATGGTGGCAATTTTTGTTTTTCCCTCTGTTACAGCAGCTTCTGGTTTACGCAAATGGCCCTTTCGTCACGGATTTTGCCAATTTACTGGTTTTCTTACAAATTATTGGGTTTTTGTGTCCCTCAGTATCTTGGCGCTTACAGCTATCAATCGATATGTGTGCGTCGTGAAACCACAACGTTACTCCTTCTTCTTCACTAAAAAGAAAACTACGATCTCGATTTGTTTCGTATGGATTTTCATGTTTATTTTCTATCTCGTGTTCATTGTTGCATTGCAAGGTACCTTTAAATGGCAGCCAAACGCCCTTCATTGCAGAGTCACCTTTCCCGATGAGAAGACTACGAAGGGTGTCTACACAGGTTTTGGAATATGCACTTTTCTATCAATGCTGTTTGTGTTGTTTGGTTATTTCGGTGTCTATCGTGTTATCTGGCGACACAAAAATGCGGTTGTTCCTTTCATACAAGAAGGAAACCTCCAAGGTGTATCACGAGCACAAGAGATAAAAACCTCTCGGGTTCTTTTCGTCGCCGTATTTGGATTTTGTGTTTCTTGGATGCCAGGAATTATTTGGAAAGCTGTCGAGTTTGGCTGGACAGTATCAGTTCCTTCCTACTTACAATCGGTGCCCATGTTGTTTTCTTGCATCTCTGCTTGGATCAACCCAATAATTTACGGAGTCATGAATCGCGCAATGCGAAGGGAGTTTGAAAACATTTTGCTTCGTTGGAGAAGAAGAAAGATCAGCGCCAATTCACATTATTCTAGCCTGCGCGCAAAATCTAATGGGAATTATAAAACTGTACACGAATAACTAAACTATAACCATACTGTTCAAAAATTGCTAAACAAAGGCTATATTTTAAAGTTTTCTTTCCGGTGATTGCAACAGGAAATAATTTTGTCTATCTACTGTGCAATCACCTTTTGCGCCAGGTCAATCACGAAGGTCACACTGGGGCAAACTGGAGTTTGATGGCTGTTCTAGAAAGGTCGTAAGGAACTCTGAGTGAAGCGTTTGGACAATGTAGACTGACTGTTGAAAAGGGGGGGAGGTTTGACCATAAATATTACTCCCGTTCTTTCATTGAAGTCTTATCGATTTTGAAAACCCCGGACTTGCCGCTCAAGAACACTAAAAAAGACGGTAAAAGATGATCGAAATATTGTATGATATATCTGCTCGTCTTGTTCAGATGATATATGCTAAATCAGTGTTTATAATTGGCTTCACGAGTCACTTTCAGTTGTAAAGGGAAGCTTTCAATTTTGTATCACGATGCTGTGACATCCATACACTACTGCCTGCATGACATGATGTTTAGTTGCCATTGGTATGTTTGGAGTATTAGCGTACCTCATTATCACTCCGACCGGCTCATGTTCATCCACTCGTTGGTCCACTTTGTTACTGACTGGCTGTTGTGCTCTTTGACAGTAGACTTCCATGCTCGGCTAAATTCGACTCCACTGTGTCTGATCATGCGGGTTGTTATCTGGATGACATTTCATGTGGATGGCTTCTCCATCCATCCCCTTTTTTCACGGGTGCTCCAATAAGGGTCGTAATCGACGTATTCAACCTGTAAGAACGTCACCTGTTTGAATGATTGTCATGCTCCAAGACTGAATTGTTCCTTTTTTTGGTCCAGTGACAAGGAGGAGGGAGTGAGTGGGGCAGAATATAATCACATTTATTGTGAAATTCGTTCTAATTAGAACCGTCAGCTGCTGATCACAAGATACAATTAATATTCCTTCCTTTCTAGTTGGAATGCCATTTCATATCGCAAGTTTGTCTGCACCATTTTGTCAAGTCTTCTTTACAAGCGTCCATTTTAAGACACTCGGAGGCGAGAGTAAAGTTTTCTTGTCAATGATTACAATGCAATTAGCCATCCAGGGATCCAACCCGGAGCTTCCAAACCAGGAAGTATGAATTACATGAAGAGTTGTTCAGAAAGTTCCTCTTAAATTAACTCCCGGCCCCTGATCTGATTGTCAATTCTCCGTTCTAGCTACTACACATTTCCTTGTAAATTCGTTACCAGAATTTGGTGTTAAATCAAGATTACAACTTCAACCTGATAAGTTTGAGCATTCTCCTAACCTGTTTGCTGGATCATGTATGGATATTATAGGAAGAAGTTACATGTTAGTCGCTTCTGGGAGTTGGGGGGGTAAAATGGGATAAACGTGATCTCAAGGATGAATAGCTAGCATATTAGCCGCGAGGTAAAGCAGAATTTTGTTTATTTTCATTTACTCATTTCTCCATTAATTTTTCAATTATAGCTTTCCAGACGTGCATTAGGAAAAGATGATATCTATCCATTTATGAAAATCTGACACCTGGATACCCCAAACGAATTTATCAGGTTTTGTCTAAGTCTTCTGTAAGGGCATTAGAATATGCATAACACTAATAATAGTTCTCACTAAAACTGCCCCCGTTCCTTAATTCAAGAACTTGACATACGCATTGTAATATATGCAAACTTTATTTACTGGAGATTTAAATTGCCTGATAATCGAAACACATCGTATATTGATAGAACTAAACTTTTGAGCAGCACTGCACGTAATGAAAAAGGAAGCGGCCCTCCCTGAACATACTAAAAGTAAATACTCACCTACTTCCTTAGCGATTGTGGCAACTGAAAAAGATGGCGCGAACAATCAGCTTGTTTTTAAACAGATACAGAATGACGTAGAAATTGGTAAACCACTGACGACTTCCTGCCTCCGTGCGAGAAAAACAAACAAGATAGATTTCTGTCCTGTGACTCATGAGGATTAAATTAGTGGACAAACTGTGGCACTGCATGTTGGAAGGCTTCTGTCAACTTCTAAATAAAACTTAAACAAAAAGAAACGTTGGATGATGATTCATTCATTTATGCTTCTCGTCCGACTGTTCGATTCCCAGAGGGAAAAAGCGTCCTATGCTGGTATTGGCCGGATGAAAGGGACGGTATGCAAATATACGAAGTGCTTGTTATCAAAGGTCCGCGAAGGATGCCAGACCGGCTTTCGTTTTCGTGCACGAGGCTTTCCATTAAAAAACGAGCCAAAGCTAAGACATTGTCGTTTTTTCCTTCTTTTATTTTATCATCTTTTTTTGCACGAAAGGAAAGCCTATAAAACAAACATAATAGAAAGATAACGAAATAAAAAAAGAGAAACGTATTCGTTATCGTGTCCACGGCGTACCCCTTGTCAAAGGCGAATTTCGACCTTAGAATTCGGCATGACTGAATCGTCACGACAAATTGCAATCCCGACGCCTGAAAAGATTTTAATACTGTGTACTGCTTAGGCGCTGCTAACCTCTGTGTTGAATTGCCACACGCTGTGAGCAAAGGCATTTTACACCTCTTCTCGGCATTTCGGGATGATACGATTCTTTTTTTCAGTCTGTCGTTTTGTGGGACGGTGAAACGAAATGGGTCAGTTTCTTGTCGTTTAGTGAGGTGAGTTACGTACATTCTTACTTTTATTCTTGACATGTAATCTGCTAGCTTCCTTTATTGTCAGGCAAGTTCTTCCTGCCATTATGCTAATGCTGGTTCTTTTGTCGTCATACAGTTGAAGGTTTATCCGTTGTTAAATAATCGAAACAATCGCATGACGGCTTTGACGAGTCCCCGCTAATGTATTTCTGAGAGAAAACGAAATTACTGTAATCTTCACTCGGAGAGCAAAGGGACCGAAGTGTTTGATGTATTTCTGGTAGTTTTATCCTCAGAAGATCACTTGAAGTACGATTGGTCGAGCAGATGTTACGAGGAAACAACACTTAAACGCGAATAATACATTGAATTGTCCCTAAATTAACATTGACGCTGCTATCGGCTCAAAGAAACGCGTATATATGATTTTTGTATCCTTACCAATAATTTTCAAACAATGAACCCGTGCGTCACTCGCTACAGCTTAGAGCTAGATAAAGGATGCTGAAAGAAGAAATTTCTCATTATCGCACCTACTACAGCTAGCAACCTAAGCACGTGTGACGCGAAAAGTGGGCATGAGTTCAAAATCTGCCCCAAAGCAGAAGACATGACATGCTGACGTAAAGATGCTGACGGAAATGTTGTTTCAGGATTGCAATCAATCATTTCTTTGGCACGATTGAGGAACACATTTTCGTTCCTTGGCAGGATCTTTGAACTTGACTACGTCTTAGTCAGTCGCAGAAAAATTCAAGAAGGTATTACATAAGACGCATCCTCACACAAGTTCTGCTGTAAGCTTTCAATCGCGGCAATTGATCGCGAGATCTCGAAGGTACGTAAATTCAACCATAATTTTTTCGTTTTCGCAATTCGTTTTTTTTTCATGTAATATTTGCCAATCCCTAATTATAAGTTATAACTGTAACGTAGAGTAAACAAGTTTGGTGACGTCGAATTGAGATCAATTCTCCAAAGCCGCTCGCCAAAAATACGAAAAAGGGAAGAATTTTCATACTAATTTGGGTCCCAAAAATGTGATAGATTGCCGAGTTAGTGTGCTGCACAACAATTTCCTTTACCTTTCCCATCTGAGACCGCGCTTGACATGAGGAAATAGTATTTTTATAGAAGGATCTGCTTAGAACAGCAGCAATGCGTCAAGTAGATGTATTTTAAAAATTCTAATGCAAGGAAACAAAGTTTGACGAGAGATGAGTTGTATGTTATCGCTCAGTTTTGTAAGTTATCATGATAAATTTGCCCGCTTGGGAACGGAAGATACTCAAGAGGAAGGAAGATAGTAAATCAGTTATCGGAGGAAACATGCAAATGAGAAGATTTTGGATTTATTTTTACATCTTTTCATGTTTTGTTCAGTCTTTTTCTCGTAAAGAGCGCATTTTTCAACTTTTATGTAGAAATTAATAGATTCAAAGTTGAATCTAAATATTTCAAACCGCAGTTTTACACAAATTGTAAAAAATAATGGGGATAAATACTCAAGCCAAACAGGAATCTTTTTAATCACTTAGACCTTTATTAAATCAGTGAACGCGAACACTGAGCGAATTCATGGTGTGAATTGCCCACAATGTAAACTGAAAGTGCTTAATCTGGTCAGCTACAACTTCCTGCAAAAAAAAAAAAATTCCATTGTAAAGAAACCTATTTAAAAACGTTGATTTACTCATACATTTGAAAATGTCTCAATGTTTGTTGAAGTATGTCAGAAGAGACAGTAACGTTTTGGAGTTGACCCATTTTGTTTCTTTCAGTTTTTAAAATGTAAATTGAACAAAAGGTAACAAAATGAAACGCATTAATGAATACCAATTAACACTTGTTCGAGAATTTTAAAGAGTTTTACTGTTCGCATACATGTGGTAAAATTACCGCTATTGTGCTCGTAGATAAGTTAAAGATTTATGTCCCAGTCTATACGGTTCCAGTCCAAAAAAATTTACGAACCTGATAATTTCATCACGATGTATATTTTTGTCTGCTGCTTCCATAGGGCATTTTAAAATTGATTAACAGCTGCGAGGTACCGAGATAATTCAAAATCCGACGTAATAGAAGAAAAAAACTAGAAACACTGCAAAGTGTGATATGAGTTAAGTAATTAAAAGCATTATCACCAGAAATTGGATTAAAGCTCTCAAAAGGGGTAGGTAAGCCCTCGGTAATTTTTCTTTTGTGGCTAAAGAATCTCGCCAATTTTATCATTACCATCGGGCTAGTATTCAAACGTCGAGAGTTTGTTATAAACTCCAGCTTCTCATTACACGGATAGGAACTTTTCAAACGGTACATCATTATTGCGATAGAAGCAATAAAGCAATCAAATAAGCTGTCTAACTGAACATAAAACTCGATCCAAACAAACACCATTATTTAAAAATAGCTTAAAGAATTCTTCTCACAAATTTGGCTTAATCAGTGCCTACTTCTGTATCGTGAAGTTTCTGAGCCGACTGGTATTCTTACAAATAAACCGAAAGTTTAGTTTAAAATTTAAATACTTGTTATTCAGTTATGTAATTTGCGTCTGAAGTAACCGACAAGACAGGCGATGAAAAAAAAAAAAGCTTAATCAAAACAGAGAGGCGTTAACTTCTTATCAAGAGTAATTCCCTCAATTCTATAATTCCATCCAAACGTGCATCCGGGACAGAAACTTCACAACAATAACGGAATTCTTTTAGAATGGACCAATTTGACCGCCCAGCTCTACGTCTGTCTGTGTATACGGATTAAAGGAAAAATGCGTTCTGAAAGCCAAGTATTTTTTATTTCCATTAATAAGAGGTATATATGGAATTGACCGCCTTTTGAGATTCCGAAGAGCAGCCAAACCTTGCCTAGCAACCTGGCCGCTTTCCTTCGACGTAACCCTACGTTAAAAGTTGATTTTTTCCTCCTCAGTTAACTGTCTAACAGCCACACCATAAGACAGTCTTGACTGATTTGTTTATTTTATTTATTTATTTATTTATTTTTCGCAATACCTGGAGCAGCAGTACTTTTGCGATTCTTATTTTTTTGAGTGTTCGTGGCCAGGTCACTGTGCTGTTTTCAAAATGGCGGCGCACGCAGCCGATATCTTCTATTATTAAAAACTGGATCATTGAATAATGCAATTCAAGACTTTTTATCGGCTTAGCCATTATAGTTTATGAACCAATATACCATAATCTAATATCTGTACATTGTAACATCCGGTTTCTTCTTACAAAATAAAGTTGAGAAGATTTGTCTAATATCTTGAGGGCGTTTTTTTTAAATAAAACAATCATTCCACTCGTGCTTGTTGGATATGAGATGATTACAACCAACTCGGCGCTATGCGCCTCGTTGGCTATCTATCATCTCATATCCAACGAGCGCTGGTGGAATAATTGTTAATTGGCAAATAGGTATCTCAAAATTGTCAGTTCAGTATGGTGCGGTCTAGTTTCTATTCTGGGTTGAAATTTTTTGTTTCCCTTATTTAGCGATGTGCCACTACAAATAAATGACTTAAGTCTGATTTATCATTTGTCTTCAAAAGTTACGGACGTTGGAGAAGTCATTTTGACTGCATCTTATACTTTGAGTTATCTGTCTATTACATTTGATGTGTTCATAGTGGGGATCTCACGCGTGCAAAGCGCGCGTGGGACAGAGCCCCATATCCATGGAATATGGTCAACCTCTTTTCGATTGGTTGGCACGTGACTGACCGAGCGTGCGTTCGTACGTACGTACGTGCTTAAGGGAGGGGTGACTCAGGCGAGTCTTGGAATTTCCATGGAACACTCAAAAGATCAGACAATTAAATCAAGCGTTTGAGGAGGAAGCAGATTTATTTAAAAGAGAGAAAAAAAGTTATGGGGAAGGGTCTTCGATTCGAATACAACTCTCGTACTTGGAGAAAAATCTTTTTCTATCTTTTCACGAACGTGGGAAAAAGGAAATTTACCATCTTCTTTCTCTTGTGCTTTATTGAGAAGTCAACATACTCTTCTAGTTGGGTCCAGTAATTGAACCTGATTTAGTTATAAGTATGAGGGTGTGATTGATTCATTGATGACAAACGATGTTAGCATTACAAAAGTTTCAGCAAATAAAGGCCTCTTTGGCACTTAATAAAATTTTGGGTATACTTGAATAAAATATTACACAGTTGCGATTCATGTGCAAGCTAAGACAAACAAGCAACCTCGTTCCCAGGGCCCAACTAAGGGAAAAGGCCCTGGGAATGAGGTTGACAAACAAGGTGCATGCATTATTGGAAAAGGGATTAAAAGAAAAGTACTGGGTGGTAATCTACCGCTAAGATCAAGGCTAATAGCTTTCGGTTGCTTTTTTGCTTTGAGATCAACAAGCAGCTGATAATAGCTCGTCGGCTCTATTGATCATTTTTTTACCAGAGAACCCTATGTTATATCCTTGCCAATGAAACATTCACAATTAAGGTTCAAATCGAGAAAGCTTAATCTGAGGAGAATTTGGGAAGAGGTTTCAAACCATTCTACCCTTAAATTTTCTTTATCTTCCGTTTCGTAGCTTGTGGCACAATATTAAAGAACTGATTTTTTTAAACTTGCTGAAACCACGATCGTATCATCGTTCAGTCTGTTTATCAGTATGATTTGAATTGCAAGATGGCTAACCCATAAAGGCTTCGCTGAAAATAGAAAAAAAATTATATTCACATTTAACACTAAAGCGTCAGGGAAATCAAAATACAGTAAGATAGAGATGGGAGCGGTTTTCAAGTTCTTTCTTGCCAACTTTTATAGGAGCATTTTCTAAATCATTATTTTTATCGGGTGAAGTTTGAACACCACCTTTTGCGACCGTATCTTGTTTTAAATAACACGAACCCGAGGCAACATCTTGACGAGGCACAAATATAAACAAAAGTTATCTTTTCATCTCAAGTTTGCACTAATAAAGCAGTTTTCCGAAATATTTGATGCATAAACAGCCAGCTGTCGAAAGGAGACGTGAATTTTAATTTTTAACAAATAGCATCAAAAGCTCTGAGTTTTCTGTTATTTCAATAAGCGGCCTTTAATGTTTTGTTTTCTTTTAATTTCATTCATATAGAAAAACTAATTTTGTTATGAAAGAAAAAAATTATTTGGTTGGGTGTGCCGCGAATTCAGGATTAGTATTCTGTGGATAACCAGCTTTTCAATTATCACGAATGAAATTATTTTTTCAGCTTGCTAGTTGTTATTTTACTTAAGCTCATCGAGATTTATCCCTTAAGTCTCCATTTGTCTCACTTAGCTTAATTCACTCGGCTTAAAGAATTCATTCAATTTAAGTACACCACATTCTGTTTTTTTTTTTTTTTTTCTAAAAGGCAATTAACTTACTTGTACCATCTGTGGTAGATTAATGAGAGATATATAATGAATAATCAACTGTTTATCGACGAGGACAAATTTGGAAATCTTTAACAAAAGTAGGTTGGGGTTAAGATTTTTGCTGGTGCTTAAGAAGTTTACCAACGGTACGTTATTCCTAAAAACTAGTAGACTAGTGATTTACTATCTCCGGGGTTAAAAAGGAAACACAAGCACTGACTCCCTATGCAGGAACTTCCTCTCTCGACAAACGTAATACGAAGATGACAAGATGCACTGACAATCTCAGAACTTAATTTAACGCTGAATTCGTGCGCAAAAGAAAAAAAAAATCAGTCACAATAGGAAAATTTAATTGAATTCATATTTCTACAACTCAAGCAGGATTTGTCACAAGGCATTTTTTTTTTTAATCAATCACATTCAGTTATTTCGTGCGTAGAAACACCGTTATTTTGCCCACTCAGTTTGCCATCCGATGACGACGGCTGCTGATTGGCTAAAAATCTGACTTTTATTTTAAATATTCACTAGGTTCGACTTAAATCCCTTGCATGATTAAATTAAAATAAATTGATTTATATTTATAGGTTTTAGGTTATTTGGTGCATGCAGCACGTTGAAGCGTACCACAAAAAAAACAGTTCAACCTTCTAAGAACTGAGGTAAGAAGATTTCCACAGCTTAATTCATCATTTCCCGGTTAAAGTAGGCTCGACATACACAGGAACGGTGAAGTCTTTTTGTTATTGTTATGCAGCAGGATGTATTCTTATTTCGTATATGTTAATTCTCTAAAGATAGACTTTCATCCAGGGGGTAAAATCTAGTCATTTCGAGAATTTCTCCTAAACAGACAAAAGTTGAATACTACATATGAGTTTTCTCTCCTTATGCCGTTCTCATGGGCATAAAATTTGCTTTGAGTCAGTAAGAGATGAAACAGTACTTGATTTCCTTTCAATCGTCTCGGTCAATCGAATTTTCCAGACTTATTGACGACATCCAATTTTTGTTGTGTTGTATTACGTTTCACCTTCAGTTCGAACTCTTCACGGTCAAAAAACTGCATTTCGTGTTTTATAAGTCCCATGCATGGATAAAAAAAAATGTGAGCTGAACAATCACTGGGCTAAAAATTTCATAACTGTTGCGGTAGGCACCTGTTAGTCCATTGTTTTCGGCATCAATAGTTGCCAACCAACCAACAGTTGACGCAGCATCACAGTTTCTAAAGAAAGTGTGGTGCTGCGTCAGTGGGAGTAACAAGGTCGTTTCAGTTTAATCAACTGCATGAGTCGATACTGATGTAAGTTGGCCACCATAAAGAGTTTAAAAGCTGACGTTTCGAGCGTTAGCCCGTCGTCATTCGCTCTTACAATGGGCTAACGCTCGAAACGTTAGCTTTGAAACTCTACGGTGGCCAATTTATATTATCAACCAATTAATAAGACCAAAATTACTAAGTTTCCGTCTAAGTTAGAACGACGGCTTCCTAAGTCGATGGAATATATCGTAATAATAACAAATGAAGATGTTTTAATTAAAGGAAGAAGAAGTACAATATAATTTTTTTGTGCCATTTTGTCTTGCAATAATTAGAAGGTAAACATGCACATAGCTGGTAGCCTTTTTTCGCGAAATGAAAGTATGTTGGTTAATTTTTTTTAAACTGAGAAACACGAAAAAACAAGAAAAGAAAACGATTAAAAAACATCAAAGGAAAATACTACCGTTTTAGACCTATATACTTTTTCATTGACTGGTCACAGAAAGTTCTAATTTTTTTTCAAATTTTAACATTTATATATATTGACCATCTGTAGTGACTATGTATAATTACCAACTGAGCTAGAAACAGAGTTGTTCGTGGAAAAAACTTGACGAGAATCTCAAAATTCTAATTCAACCTTGCTTTTAAGGATTCGTTTGCTAAAGGCTTTGAGAAAAAATTAGTGTTTTCTGTAAATTCGGCATTTTCGTTCCAGTAAATGTATTTGCTTTTCTTCTGCAATGAAAAGGCACTCAAAAATTGCACTTCACGCGTCAATCGTTAAGTATTACTAGCATAACAAATAAATTAAAAAAATGCTTTTCTGTGCTCTAAATGTATTCCTCTCGCTAAAATATTTCACCTGTCCTTAATAGCTCATTTAACAAAACACATTCTGTTAACTGCATCTCACTAATATCCGAGAAACCGCGTGGAAAGTTATTAAAAATATTATTGGAAGTTATTAAAATTCAAGAGCAACTTTTTCTGAAATTTGAAAATAATTACGATTTCAAAAAGCCTTTAATAAGTACTTGCTCGTTGAAAGTCTCGCACGTAGTAGGTCACACCCAAAGTAGCCCGATTTTAAACCGGCGACAGATATCATATTAAATGATACTTGATGTCGGAAACATCGATTTTAAATTTATTACATCCTTTCCGACCGCCACCGCTGTTGACGACCACATGGTTGTAAATAAGACTTAATGATGTTTATTCCTCCATTTCAGGGAAATTATTTTTTTGAAAGAAATGACTTTTATATTTCCGCGCTCATGTGTAAGTTTCTGTATGGTATCATCGCGCTCTCCAACCAAACACTTTTTCGGTTTTAAAATGTAATTACGCTGTCGGGCAGATAGTCAAAAGCATAATCATTTCCATGTTAAGATACGGTGAAAGGACAAGCGAATCAGTGGGATTTGATCTTAAAAATGTCACGGAATGTGGGGATTTCATCTTAAAAAGAATCTCACGGATTGAAGATTTTCGTAAAAAAGGGAAAAATTAGATCTGAGGATTTGAAAAGTACCGTGGATTGTGGATAGGTTGTTCTGTCGCACTTTCATTGTAACTAATACCGAAGGGGTCTCTTGCGATGATAGTTGTTCGACCTACGATCTACAGTCCAGTGTAGTCCAGTCCAGTTTAGTCCGACAATTATGCTAAATACGCTTCTCCCAAATCGACTCAGAGTAAGAGAAAATTATGGGACATTATTTGCTCTTCACTCGGAATCGGTGACACCTTGCTACGGATAAATAGAAATGTAGTCTGCTAACCCCCCCTACCGTTCGGGAGTATCCCCCGTCCCACGGAAGTTTTGGCGGGAATGGATATGATTGTAAGCACAGTGTCGCAATTGTTTTCTCATATTGTAACTTCAGGTACGCACTTCGCGAAATAATATTTCGTATACTACTTGTCTCGACAATTGCTTACTTATGCATTGTCACAAATCATAACGGACAAACTGGGTCCTAAAAGGCAAAGAAAAGATTTGGAAATATCATTTTAGTCACTGATCTGCTTGAAGCAGATCAGTGACTAAAATGCAGATTGCTTGGCTAAGTGTGCCCTCTGTCCGGCCCTCTCTCACCTTTTCCCCCAGGTTTCATACCGCTTTTTCGCCTGGGCGTTTAAACGGAAAGAGGCTGGGCCTGGGACGAGACGCGACCTGCTATCATTTTCTGGCCTAACCCATTGACTATAGAGCACTAGAAAGAGTTACCCTGACGAAAGATGCATTTTGGGCATGTTGGTGTTATAAACTGCGCTGGTGGTTTGTGCAGCCTTATTTTCTCACAGGTTAGGCTGTTACATTTTATTTTCGGTGTCAAGCTATGTATTTTCCAGAGACCTCTACATGCACCTTGCATAATTTACAAAAAGGATCTAGATTTTTCTCTGGAAATACGCGTTTTTTTTTCTCTTGAAAAGTTGTTTAGTGGTTCTAGGTCTGAATGCGTTTACATTTATAACGAAGCATTTTTGGATACAAAAAAAGATTTCACATGGTAGACAAGAATGGATTGTAGTCATCATAATGCGTATTATGAATTCAATGCTCGGTCGTTGGAGGCCAAAATTGTCTTTACAGAATTAAAAATTTAAAAGGGAATACTATTATGACCTCTTTGCAACAAGAAGACACCTGCCAATTTTTGATCAAAGACGAATTCGAAATTTTATAGACTTGAACGAAAAGAACAGAAAGGGAATAAACTATTATATAAAACAAATAGGAGACTGAAAGAAAGAAAGAAAAGCTGAAAACCAGACTGCTGCCAAAAAGAGACAAGTCTGAGTGTTGACTCAGATGCATGCTCTACTGTTGAGATGTAGAAGGGGAAATTTTTGTATCTGGCTAATAAAATTAGCTTACAGGTTCATTAGACAAACATCTAAGGACACCGATTATTCATCGGTAGTCTGAAAAATTAGACGAACATTTAATGATACCGACTTTTCATTGTGCTCTGAATATCATTGCTTCTTTTCGGTCTCCCCGAGTAACTTTTGCTAAAAATTTAGTGTGTGTGGCTTATATTCTTCTGCTATGGCTGACATTGTAATAACTTAAACTCTTGAATTCAAGAAATAGAAAACTACAATGGAATAGCTTCTTTTGTTTCGACAAAATTAACAAACACTTTTTTTTTCTGTCCGAGTCTTACAGCCTCTTAATAAAGCTTACAAAGTTAAAAGATTGGCCTCGACCCTTCTGGACAAATTATCATGGTTCGAACCACGTTTAACTAGATGTATTGACTAGAAAATTTAAAGATTCATGGAATATGTTTAACGTGACCCACTGCTACCAAGAAACAGTTTGATAAACATAATCATGTATAGTGAGCTGTTTTTATCCACGTTTAAGTTATGAAATGAAAAGAACAGAAAGATTCATGGAATATTTTTTACGTGATCTAGTGCCGCCAAGAAACAATTTGATAAACTCATTTTGTAATCATTACGGTGGCCAATTTACCATTTCAACTTTGTTGATATATCCAAATCAATTGTAGCGAGCTGATGAAAATTGCGCAACAGAGTCCATATACTGTTTCAGAAGTGGCCTCAGGTGTCTTGCTTTGAGCTCACAAATTCAAATTACCCTGATAACAATTTTGAACTTCAAAGTGGTATGCCAGCTGGGATTTGGCCCTGGCAGATGAGATTTTTAACAATTCTAATTTGTGTATACGGGTGGGTGTCAGCTTGATTTACCAAAACTCTAAATGAAGTGATTTGCCGCAAGTGATTAGTAATCACGGACAAAAGGTGCTCAAGCTTGAGTATACCTACTGGTGAGATTTCTGCCTTTACATTTCAATGACGCTTCACACCGCACAAAAACTCTAAGTTACCGTATATTTACCGCTCAGACATGATTTCGGCCCTTCTCTTTGTCCGACTTCGCTTCTCCTGTGGTAAGAGTGCGGGCTCATTTTTTGAACAGCGGCCAGTGATCAAGCCTCTACCACAAGTGTAACTTCAACAGAAATCCAGACATGAGTTTGTTTTACGGTCCTCCGAGAAGAATGATTTGAACACAACGGTTTTACGTTTTTCAATCGACGACAAAAAAAAATTATCGCTTCCCATTGTAAATGGTAAACGTTTGCGGGGTCAGTCAGAGAAAAAAACACCGTTTGCAAACTATAATTCTGGGATAACGATAAACCTAATTGTTATAAAATTGACAAAGAGAGAAAAAAAGAAAAGAATATCATCGCCCCAAAATTTCAAGTTCAAGAAGTTTGCTGTTGTTTTTAGTTATATGCATTGAAAGAACGCGTCAAACTTGCTGTTGTTGAAGTATTGCAATTAAAACAAGTCAGGAATTTAGCACGCAAGCCTGATTAAAATTAATTTCTTTTCGGCTTTTCTTCTGATTACCTTGGAAATGATTTTTTCTTTTTTTTTTAAATCACAGTACATTTAATTTTCAAAGTTTTGATTTGTTGTGTTACATTTAATGTACTTGACTAGTAACAACTAATGATCGCCAAAAGTTTCATTCTTCAGTTTTTAATAGTAACGAAACTTTAGAATGTCGTGAAGCAATCCTGCTAAGATACCGATTTTTGTTAATAGTACCTGTTGCTTAGACACAGCTGTTAAATTATTGCACAATAAAATGTTATTTTGGATTCACAAAGAGTAAACACTCTCAGTAGTCTTAATATTAAGAGCCACATCATTTTTGCCAAAAATTTTATCCATGTGATTATCTAGCAAAGCTGATGCACTTAGCCCCAGCAGCCTTCGCACCGAGGTAAATTACGTAGTACTGCTAGAAATTAATTCTTTCTGTCAGTTCGTTAAAAAGAAAAACTAGAATGTAAATGTGATATTCATATTGCTTGCAACTGATGATCATACATTCATTTGCGTGTTCACATCACGGAGAGTTTTACGGCCTCCCATCCAAGTACAATCCCTTGCCCAACAGGGCTAAATTTCAACTTAATTGACTGGACATGCAAGGAAAAAATTGAGCTCCGCTTTTAGTCTTAGCTTAATGAAGATAAGCTTAACACTGGGGTCGGAGACGAGTAGAAGATATCGCGATAAATTTAAAAATTAATCAGTCAACTTTGCATGATCTTCAAGCTATGACAAAAACATTTTCACTACTCCAGTTTTACCTGGTATGTTTCCTTTCTTTTTTATACATCTCGAAAAGACTGACTTAATAAACAAAAAAAATTTAGTGCTAGAATCTAATCCAAGGAGGAATTAAGAAGACACAACCAAAACTGAAGAACAATTAGTATTTGGCGCATATTTCTTCGATTACTAAAGAAACTCTAATATACGAAATCCATAGCTTTCCTAAAGAAACAGCCTTCTTATTAATCAAACAAGAAATTTTCAACCCAAAACTTGACGAGTTATTTCACACTGTTTACATCACTTGTGGATAAGCAACCTGTTTCACTCTGACGCCGTTTTTTTGCTTGGGTGAATTGTTTACTAAATATTCCGAGCCAAATGAAAGCGGCACGCTGTACATTTCTCTAAAGAAAAGTATCCAAGTTTTGACATCGCCATTAATTTACTTAACTATTTTAATACCGATGATGTTTTGTCGTGAGAAGGAAACTCGCAAGTTGGTTAATGACAAAAACATCACTTACCCCATAGCAGGCTACCAAAATATTTAAATTTTCAGAATGAAAAAAAAAAAATACTTTCGACGCCTGAAATTATTACCAGAACGACATAATTGTAAAACTGTTACATAAAATAAATTTTCATGGGATACAGACGAATGACTAAGTGCATGTATGGGTGTATATCTTTCAATTTTGTCTTTTCTGCATAATCCTTTGTAGCAATAAATGAAAAAATTAATCAGGAAATCCGCAGGGAGTCAACTTCAATTTCAAATAGGACATATTTATAAATAATCTTCTGTAGCGAATCGACATCCAGTAAAGTAATGTTCTACTCGCACAGATTTTCTCTCCTTTTTTAAGGCATCACAGAACTCAAGTCGTTTCTTTGTAACATCTAAAGTTTAAACAGAAGGACGATTTTGTTATAGTTGCTGTTGAACAGTTCTCATTGCTGACCAGGTTAACTAAACTAAGGTAAGTATCCGTTCAGCTGTTTTCATTTATTTTGGAATCGTGACACGATTCAAACCAACATTAATTATTCGTATCTTGACACCAGAGTTCAAAAAGAAGAGTTAGTGTTCGTTTAAAAGGTCCGTGGCAAATGCTGAATTGAAGCACTGAAAGCTTTTCTCGACAAAACATTTTTCAGAATGCGCACGATGTTGTGTACTGATTTTAATCTCCGGTCAATGATTTCTGTAATGTTAATTTTACCAGAAATACACTTCAATGAAATTAGAAGACATCTAAATCATGATTTAGGTGCACCTATTCAGAGGATACTTTCTGAGATAAAGGACATTTAAACAATGGGAACAATTGAACAGAAGGAAATTGGTTGTGTGAACGAAACAAATCGTGACTCACGCCTCAAACGCATTTACCCACGATTTGTTACGCAGATTCACCATAAAATGGGTGTTTACAGTTTCAAAATGCCGCAAAAGATCCGCAACACAATAACACTAATACGTAAATGAAATCGGAAGGGTTGCGTCTTGTCGACAACTTATCACAGGTAGCCGAAACTTCAGAGATGTAATGTAAGCTTCTCAATACAGCGGATGCTGTTACGCAATGTACGATTTACGGAGATTTTATGGGATATTTACTTTAACCTTAAATTTTGTGAAAAAAGGGCGGTTGTGGCAACGAAGGAATACCAACTGTAGAGTCCCTTTTTTCGTTGTGTCTCACGAGTATTTTAGGCGTCATCGATGCTTCTTTCAGGTTCTTGAGTTCGGTTTCCGAACCAGAGAGTAGTGAGGGCTCATTTTCAAAACGAACAGCAGTTGGTTATCAAGTCTGTCCGCTCCTTATTTCAGCGGAAACGCACCGATGACACCATTTCAATCGTAAAACGCTTTTTCTTTTTCTTTTTTTTTTTTTTCTCAAGTGACCACTGATGAGACCCAAACTAGAGCAAACACATACGGACAAGACAAACCTGAAGAAATCATTCATTACTTATGCATTAGTTTGAAGCTATGTTTTGAACTATTCAGGATGCAAATTGATACGTAAATCTAACATTGGATACCAAGTTTTGGTTTACATATTTTCAAATTAAATCTTTACGAAACCACGCTCTGTGAGAATTCTGCTCTTCGATTCTTTATTTTATGTCAAAATGTTTTTATCTTGATTCCATTCTTGCTGTGTCTGATTCATCACAACTTCTATCATTTTTTACTTCGCTACTTAAGTTGGTGAAGTCCTGCCATGTCTTTAATCTGCAACCCTTAAGACGAACTTCCTTAAAATCAATTTAAAAAAAACGTAAGAAAAGCCAGATGCTAAACATAGATTGTGAAAACGAGTTACTTGTTGCTAAGTTCTGCAATAGGATCATACACTTATCGCGACATTGTGGTAATCTCGGTAATCTGCTTGACCTGCAGGGGTTATGCTGAGAATGAAAAATACTTGCTAAACAATGAAATCACGGACATTCACACGATCGATCTGATAATTACAAACAAAGAAAGTAATTCATAAACAAATTCTGGGATTGATTGAGATCAAATTGTTTGCTTTTCATCTCACTGCAACCTGGTAGTATTATGGTTATGGGCAATTCGAACTCGAGGATATTTTAAGCACAGGCTTGAATTTTTTGGCACGTGGTGCATTTCACTGTTGCTCGGTATTTTGAATTCAAAGGTAGGCGATAGCCCGCTTAGAAGAACAAATAATTTTGCTTTGAATAACACTGAAAGTTCACAGGCACATTGTTTCTCTGGAGCTGCATGGAGCTTTGCATTGACTATCACTGCATGTCCACAGGCGAACTGTTTATTTTGGCCCACATCACGATTTACAGCGAAAACAAAATTGATGAATCCTGACTGGTAAATATTTGAACTCTAAGCTCGCAAATGATAAACGATGTTTAGAAGAATGAGAATTGTCAATCGGACTAAGAGACGAGCAGGTAGGTTTTTTTTTTTCTTGCGTCGAGTTTTAAGTTTGGCGTCGAAAAGGGAAGCCTGTTACAAAAATAGATCCACTTACATCTTCTAAGATCAAAATATTTATTCCTGAACGTGAAAACTAGCATACAAACACATGCTAAGCTGTCGTAATGCGATGCGTTTTTGTTTAATAAACGGTACGTAAATATTTATTGGAGAGCATTAAACAATATGTGCATGGCTGATAGAGAGACAATCTCACTTGACAGGTGAATGTTCGAGTTTGACGGAGATCACATATTTAAGCAACAGAGCACATATGGAATTAAAAGAAAGGAGGAAAAGAAAAAAAAGAAACGGCGAAAAGAAAATTAAAAGAAAGATTTGCCTCTTTTCTCTAGCTCACAGGGATTTTAATTCAATGACCTCTGGTCTGCTCTAAAAATTCTTCTTCGTATGAAGGCGCTGAAGGTGAACCGCGAACACTGTTTGTTCCCTTACGCTATGTAAAGGTGATGATAATCAGTCAAGGTTACAGAGCCTCTCTAACACAGATGGAACATTGGATCGATACGGGCCAAGTTCAAATTCCTTTAAAGTAAAATTCATCTTTTATTCAAGCTCCTCACATCAAACAGTGTCGATCGTCAAACTTTGCAAACAAAGGAGATAAATTGCCTGTGACAACGTGACATATTCTAATCATGTTAGATCGTCTGTTCACTCGCATTGGAAGGATTAAAATCGTCTAAAGTTTCTGTATTACTAAATTAAACCCAAACCAATAGGATTCTTTGTCTCATGGACCTCGCTGACGCCATATACGCCATGAAAAATTATATTCAATTTTAAGAGTTTACTCTTAAGAGTGTAGCAGACCAGAGAAATCACACGTTTCGATTCGGAAGACCGACATCTCAATTCTATTTCCTGACAAAAATGAGCTCTGAAAAATTCACATGACATTCAATTCCAATTTATTCAATTTCTTTTACAGTGGTTCTTAACCGGCCCCGGTGTCGAGTTGTTTAGAGGCGTTGGATGTAAACAAACTTAGGAGATCACATCGTACCAAGAAACTGTGGCTAACCAAACCCGTAATAGTGCTGATGTTAACATGGTTTTCGCCTCCGACGTAGATTTGGTAGGGCGTGTAAGTGTCGCATTTCAAACTCTCATTCAGGTGTAACAGCGACAGGAAAAAAAAAATTCAACACCTTGAGGAAGGAAGCTAATACTTGGACCATTCACTGTGTAACCATAGAGACGACCTATCACTGACTATTTTGGAGAATATTTGATGCAAATCCGAGGATGTTGTGAGAGTATACGCGGTTCCGTTCGTCGAGGTTGGAAGTCTCGCCAAACAGAGAGAAAACAAACACGAACTTGTAAATCAATAACAAAGGTGTTTCATTGTTATATCAGTGACGGTAAATCGGAATTCGTGTAGAGCGTTGGCGAAAACCAAGCAATACGAAGATTGAGGCGCGAGATAAAATCATGTAAAACTTTTAGCTGAATCAATTTCTGGCCATAGAGAATCGAGTTTGATAGTTATTCAACAGCATTTTGACGCTAAATGCTTGACCATCAGTCGGACAATACTACAGGTTGCACCAAGGCGGTCGCAATGTCTTCTGATGACTCGCGTTCGCCAGTTGCCATCGCCATACAAGCAGCGTTCATGTTCATCATAATTCTCTCTTCCCTGGTGGGCAACACACTAATCGTCCTCGCTATGTATCGAAATCTCAGCCTTCGAAGCATCACCAGCGTGTTCATAGCAAATCTTGCCGTGGCGGACTTCCTCTTGGCCCTTCTGGGAATGCCATTCACTATGGCTTCGTCCATCACGTACGACTGGATTTTCGGGCCCGTATGGTGCACCATAAACGGCATGTTCAATTCCATCTTTTGCATTGCTTCAATGCTCTCCCTTGCTGCTGTATCTATTGACCGATACGTTGCAATCATCAAGCCACTTCAGTATCCTCTGATAATGACCTCTCGCGTTGCCTTCGGTATGATATCGTATGTTTGGCTTCACGCAATCATTCTCTCTTTCTTGCCCGTTTTTGGCTGGTCCAAGTACATCTACATCGCAAACGAGTCGATCTGCACTGCTGACTGGGGATCAGACATCCCTTACACCTTATTTATCTTTGCGTCGAGCTTTTTTGCTCCATTTATGGTGATGGCCTATTGCTATTATCACATTCTTCGTGCAGCGAAAAGGCAATCCAAGACAATTGTTCCACGTGTCGGAGAACTTAGAGATGAGACACTGCAAACAATGGTGGCTGTACCGGTGGCTTTTGGAACTAAAAAAGGAAAAGTTTCGGATCCTCCGCCATCAGCTGCGGATAAAGCCAAAGAAAGGGAGGAGAAAGAGAAGTTTAACAGAGAAACACGGGCGGCAAAAACGCTTCTAATAGTGATGGGTACCTTCTTTTTTTGCTGGGCACCTCACTTTATTGGAATGATTTGTTTACTTTTTCCAAGCTGCAATTGGCCTGATGCGTTCTTTGCGACTACAACATGGCTGGCTATGTTGAACAGCGGGTGTAATCCAATTATTTATGGCGTGATGAACAAAAAATTCAGACAGAGTTTCAAAGATATACTCATGTGTCGGAAAAGAACTAACAGGAACTACACTCATAGGGAGATGAGTAGTTCTTCTTGACCGTTCTTCGGCGGCTATCTATGCCAAGCAAGAAGTTTATCGATCAAAACAGTTAAATAAGAATGGGGGCGAAATTTTCTAAGGTGATTTCGATAAAGTAAACCAGTTTTTTTGTTGAAAAGATTCGCTTCCAGATAATGTGTTTCCATTACGGGCGAAGAATCTTCTCAAATTTCCATCAGTCCCGGCCGGCTTGGTGTGTACTCTGGTTGTCATGAAAGGTTTTGTAACCGGATCAGAAAAAAAATCCTTTTTAGTAAAGACCGATGAAATCTTGTGCACACTTACTAAACTTAGCTTTAGTGGGAGAACATTATGCTCATCCCAAGAGGATGAAGATTTTGCTGTGGCAGTGGAGTTTTAATCTAGACAGGAGACAAATAACGAGGCAGACATTATTTTAGCGATACTCTGCCGAAGGCTACGCTTAAAACACAATTCAACATTAAAAGTCAAATTTGCATGAAAATCTTGTGAGCCCCTGTGGGTTGTTAATCTCAGTAACAGAAGCCATTCTCTAATAAAAGACAAAAACCACTGGCTCTCCTAGAAGAAGTCAATCCGCAAAGAAGAAAAAAAAAAACTTATTGGTTCTTCATCGTGTTTTTCCTTATCCCCTTTCGCAATTTCTAGGAGGTTAGAGTTCTCATCGAGAATGACGATAATTATCACTCGGCGAGATCGTGAGAGGAAGAAGAAGATTCGGAAATCGCCTGAAGGGAACAAGTGAAACAAGATAATAATATAACCACAAGTGGATTTGAATTACGAAATGTCATTTATAAAGGCATTAGTGTAGAACATGGCTCTGAAAGGTAAAACGCTTGGGGCAATTTGACTAATTTCAAGTCTTTCCCCAACAAATAAAATCGATCGTTATCTTCTAAATCAAACTTACATCAAATTTGTTAAAAAGAAAAAAAGGAATAAAAAAAAAAAAAAAAAAAAAAAAGATTTGGTTTTCTTCACTGAGGAAGACAGGATAAAAATAATTGCCATCGCTACATTAACCCGGTTCACATGTCGAGTGATATACACAAGCGGTTTTGATGACCTGCGATCGTTTTATTATAGAAGAGTTTGTTATTACGCAAGGATTGGTTTTCTTTACGGCGTATGGCAAACTGAAAATTACAGTGACTTTTTCCTTGTTTCCTTTTCATTTGATGCAGAACATTCAGGGTTTACGAATCAAATCCAAACCTTGAAACTATCACGAGAACTAGTAATCCTCAGAGAAGCGGCTAAAAAACATGATACTCAATGTTGAACTGCAAGAAATATCCACAATATATCATGTTTCTAAAACGCTGAATGATAATTTAGATCTAAAAGTGTGGGAGCAAACCTAATTTGGCGCCTCACTGTCTATCCGCAGGTCAAAGACCTAAACCATGTTTTCCAAATACAAGAATTTAAATAATCAACACAAGGCCAATGAGGGCAATAGCTTACCTATTGATTTGGTTACAAAATTATAAAAAAAATGTAAGCTGTTCTCTTTGAAAATTATGGCGACAATAATGCCTGTAAATTTGAAATACAATAACAAAAGGGGGTTCGATTCGAAAAGAACAAAAAGAGCAAAGCAAAACAAAACGAAACAAAAGTGAAGGGACGGAAGTCAAGATGAAGGGCATAGAAAGTTTTTAGTTACTGAAACCTTTCTGGCGATAGAAACTGTGAAGAATCACAAAAGTTTGAATGGACATATCGAATGTGAAGTCTTGCCTAAAATAATTTCAAAGTGGGAAAATAATCATTGTTGCTCCATGCTATGGGTTTCCCTCCTCGGCCTAGATTTCAACACCCTTTGTAACCGAAACTACCTTTAACAATTATCGAGCCAATAGCATAGTTCTGAGACCAAGCAAGATTCACCATCTTAAAGATTGAGCAACGTCGAATATTAGATATCTCTTATATTAAAAAATTATCAGGATGATTTGCGGCTTTAAGAACAATTGATACGAGGACTTTTAAAAGAGGCAAGAAAAACCAGTAATAATGAGACACGATTTATACAAAAATTTTTCCTCCAACTTTTCTTTGATTTCAGAACGCATCTCTTTAGGATGCGTTTTATAAAACATTTAACGCACTAAGTTCATGCTGAGGGACTTTGTTTCCTCAATAAAACTTATCTGTGTGTCACAAAATAAATCTGATTTAGTCTATTCTGTCAAGAACAATCAATTTACCTCGTTCATCGGCAACGTAAGAATACCGATTATAGGGGTTGTTTCCCTCACCACGCGATAAAATAAATAACGGTGATTGAAAGCTCAGTAGGCAACGAATCAACTATTCATTATGAAGAAGTCTCGTTACACTTCATAGCGAAAAAACAGTGGAATAATTCTGAGTTATTTTCATTGCGTGCTTCGTAAACTCAAATGTAGAAAGGATGTCCTATCGAAAACGCACGTAGACGCACACCTTGAGCTAATTTTGCCAATTCACTTATCAGATTAACTGTGATTAACCCAAAATAAAACCTAGATAGTATTTCACTAATTATCAGGCCTATAACAAAGTTATGTCTTTCTACCACACTTTCTAAAGCCTCCCAATGGGCAGTTTTTGAGGAACAAAAAAAATATTGCCCTTGTTTGTCAATGAAATATACTAAACAATAAGGGGGGAGTCACGTAAAGAAAAGACAAAAAACCCTATTATGATAAAAATCATGTAAATCAAACAATTTCCGTGCCATTATTTACCGGAAAACAAATTTTATTATTTTAGACACAAACCACGTTCAAATAAAAAAATCTTACCTTATTTTGACGCGACCAATTGTGTTCTGTTTCTTTTAAGTTAACATAATTTTTGCTTGTTATGACGGAAGTATAGAACCTTGCACTGATTTTTTCGGCCTAACTTAATGATTTTCTGGGTCGATACGATGAATTAACTGTGTGTACGTGTAGACCAAAAAATAAAAACAACAACAAAAAACAAATCACAGGCTGACGTAAGGTTGCACTCCATTGCAATGACAACGACCGAAAAAAGTTGTTGAGGCGTAAAACTTAATCAAAAGAAAACATCTCTTTTTCCCTAAAAAGGGATTTAATATGTTCGAAATGGTTCACGAGGTTCCTAACCTAGTGTGTATCATCAAATTCTAAACATTTTCTAAACAGATATCATGATTCAAATTATAGATTTGAAAAGGTCGAGGGTGTAATCTAACCTTGCCTTGACTAACTCGTTATAAAGCAACGGTATTAAATAATCCTGTTTTTAATCGTACGACGCGCAACGATTTTGGACACGGATTCAAGAGTTAACTAGTTACCCACCCGCCCATAACAACCGCGTAAGATCTTTTCACCTCCCTGCCTTTGGGTTCAATTAAATTAATCATTCAGTACTTTCTTCGGGCCAGCCTAACAATTCAAATCATAGAGTACTTTCTTCTGGTCAAAACCAGCAAAAGAACGCAGACGAGAATTATAAACCAGACTCGAATCTCATCGCAAACAATTAACACAACAGCAAAAAAAACTTTAAGTTCACAGAAGCTTACACTGAACAAAACATAACCTAAAGCATGAGAAATTCTCTTTAATCATTGACACAATTTTCTTGCTAAAGCGTAGAGGTTGTAATTTCTATATTTTGCCTCAGCAGATTGACACGTGCTCAATCTCACCTGCTAGCTAACTTTGACCTGGGGTCGGACGTATTCATAAGTGTTTTTTTTTTTTTTTTTTTTCTCGGCTATAATATCACATAGTCTTAACTGTGTGAGTTGTACATCCTATCAATCCGCCTGACTGCCTTAAGATCAGTACAAGTCTGTGCAAATCTTTGAGCCCATTGAAGAACACGAATTCCCAGATCACGAAGGTCAACGCCATAAATAGGAAGACCGTTTGAACATGCGCAAAGGTGCCCTATTATCAAAGCCGACTCCAGTGGCGAAGGAAATGGAAGATCCTACAGAAAACAAATAAACAAACCAACAAAAAACAAACTAAATATTTAGCAGACTAAAATCGTCAGGGATGTGCCACAAACTTTATCTATCCTAAGAATACTTTATGCAAAAACTGGATAACGGGACTTAAACACAAAATACACGTACCGAACTCGACACAATCAATGCGCTTCTTTTCAGCTGTCTATATGGACAGTCCATCATTTATAGGGAAGGGGGAGGTGAAGGGGGAGTGTGAGGGGGANTCTCCCCCATTCCCCCTCCTCTCGTGATAACTAATGACTGGTCCTCTCGAGTTCCTACAGGACGAACCGAGAGCGGCGCTGACAATGTTCTCAATATTCTAATTGTTCTTCTCGTTGTGATCCACAAATTAGTAAAACCACCTAAGCTATGAAGAGACTCAACGACGCACAAAAGAGTTACACAAGGAATTACGAAGTCACAAACCTTATATTCAAGCTCTTCGAGGTCGTTTAAGGCTTCCTTTTCCTCCTCCATTAGAAACTCGAGAGTCGTCTCACGGGTTATGTATCTTAAATCGACTGGAAGTTTTCCATCTGAAGTTGAGAGTTTCCCAGCAGCTGCCTTACTCGCTTGCATCACTTCAAGCCCATTACGCGCTGCATCCTCTTTATTAACTTCTATGTCTCTAGGTGCATCCTCATCCCTCGCACTTCCCAAAAAACCATCGCTTCTCAGCTCTATCCTACTCTCCTTCGGCCACGATTCTGAAGAGACAGCATCACCAAAACCGTGCTCTTCATTGGATGTGATCTGTGTACACTCTGATAAGTTTACTGAACTTCCCATGCTGGAGGTTTCGCTGGTTAGATCACCATCACAGTTTGGCAAAAAGCCTTGCGGTTGACTGGAAAGAGTATGATGATCCCTTGCTGTTTTATTTTTCTTCTTCTTTTGGCTTACTCTGTTGCTAGCTGAGATCGTCTGTAAAAGCTGCTTTGACCTCTTCAGCAACATCGCTTTACGGATCTCAGTGAGTAACTCTCTAAGACTGTTTATTTTCATCTGGCGTTCTGAAAGCAGAACAGTCTTCAAGTTTTCTAAAGTGGCCATCAAGTCTTGTTTCCGAGTCAGATTATTAATGGCCGACGGAACCGGTGCCTTCAATTCACACACCTCGCTGCCACTGACGTTACTGATAGTACCACTAGCGCCTCTTTCCGTAACTGTTTCTTCTTTACTGGTTCGGTTAAAGTCGGAAATTATCGAAGAATCCCCGAACTTATTTGACGTAGATTCCAGCAACAGCGTATTTAAAGGGTCCAAAGGCGTGTCTTCTACGTACTTTGAGGCATTCAACCCATTTTCGACCTTGCCTGTGCTATCTTTATTTTCAACAGTTACACTGGCATTGCAAGTGAAAATAGCCAATATATCGGGACATCTATACCACATTGCAATCAGTACAGCCTTGTAGTAGTACGCGACGAAATGCAGAAACAGTTCCTCTACGTCCTCCACCTTCTGGGACTCATCAGAAGCATTTCCACCCCTAGTATATAAGTCATGGCTCAAATATTGCAAGTAGTTTAAAGATTCGCTCCCATGTGGTAGCAACATAAGACACAGTTGCCGTTGCAAGCCAAACAGGCAATGCTTGTTGCAATGAGAAAGCGCTTGCAACCAGTACTGGCATGCCCAGTGAAGGTTTCCGGTAATTGCCGTCAACAGCCCAAGGGTGATATCTAGGGAGATCCTGGACAATACCTGCACAATAAAATACTAAATTCAGTTCTCGATGAAGGAGATTTCCTCTTTTAGATAAAAAAAAAAAAAGGGCATGGGCTAAGCCGCTGCCACAAAAATGTCTTTTTCTCACTCTTATCAAACTATTAAAACACATTCTTAAGAAAAGTTCTGCACTCAGCCCTATTTTTAAAACTGTTTTCTCCGAGCAACATTTCTGCGATGCTTGAAGCCTCTTGTTGAAAAGAGAGAAAGTGAGAGGCCTCCAATGCAAAAATATCTTTTCATTCTTAAAAAACAAATTATACAACACATAATCACTGGAGAGATTTAATACCTGGCCGCACTTTGAAAGAGCAAAATTCTGGAAATCAGAAATGGCCAATTCATTGAGTGTGCATATAACTCTTGATATATTACTTATAATTTTTTTAGCTTTGTAAATTTAACTTGATTGTAAAGCGCTATGGAAGAGTAGTTAAATAGCGCTATGTAAATAGATATTAATAAATATCAAGAAATATAAATCAAGTACCAAAATACCTCAGGAATGGTATCAGCTCCAGTAGAAGTAGTTTCGTAATAAGTTTTGATTGCCTCACAAAGAATAGTAAGTGATCCAGATTTTAAAGCAACACATCGGTGCCAGGCCTCTAAAACACACACGACAAACCACTTGCTGGGATGGTCATTAGCTATCCAAGAAGACGAACCGCAAGGGATACTGGTATATTTACCTGAAAGAATCGTGGGGAGTTTTCAGAGTGAGAATGATTTAAAGAATTTCAAGACAATGAATGATTCCGACGACGATTAGTATTGAGAAAACGTACTGGTAAAGACAAGCACTAGGAACATTCGAACACGAAGGTGACCGATGGTAGCGTGTGTAGGATATGGAAAAAGATTTTATTTCAAAAAAAAAAAAAATAGGAAAGAAAAGAGAAAGAAAAAAGGAAAGAAAGAAACAAAAGGAAATGAAGGGGTGGGAATAGAGTGAAGAGAAAGGGAGAAAAAGACAAAGAAGGAAAGGCAAGGGAAAGGTCGGGAGTAATGGGAAGGGAAGGGAAGGGAAGGAAGAGAAAGGAAAGGGAAGACAAAGAAAGAGAAGAGAAGAGAAGGGAAGGGAAGGGAAAGGAAGGAAAATGGAAGGAAACGCAAGGGAAGGGAAGATGAGGAGAGACAAGATAAGGGAAGGGAAGATGAGGGAGGAGGAGGGAAAGTAAGGGGAAGGGAGTGAAGAAAATACTAAGAAATGGAAGTTTTTTAAGTAAATGTGCCAAAACAGGTCGTCTCATAGTAAGAATGATTCCTTTGATTTTGATTTTAGAAATTCAATCGAGAGGCACTCGAATAAGCCAAAATTCACCCACCCCATGGTCCACTGATACTTGAGCAATTGCTAAGAATAGAACTTATATCGGTACGTGTGCCAACTTCCGGAGCGTTATCCAGTTGGATTGTTTTCTCTTCAGCAAGGGTCGTTAGCAAAAGCTCGTGAACACAAACATTCAACATATGAGCCTGAAATAAAAAGAGAGAGAAGAGACAATAAGAAACAGCTAGAGAGTAAACTGTGCAAAAACCCAGTAATTAAGTCAATTTAAGCGTCGTCGTAGGAGACAAGCCTAAGTTTCAACCTTTTTTATCCTAGGCTCGATCTCCGCCGCTCTCTCGTGTCCGGTATTTTCTTCTTCCCAGAGAGGGGGAGGAACGCGGGCTCATATTTCCGAACAGTGGCTGGTACCCAAGCCTATTTCACTCCCAAGATTGCCATAGAAATTCTCCTCCCTGTTTGCGATACATTTCTTACAATTTTCCTTCGACAATTTGAGGACGAACCAAGCAATATTCTCTACTTGAAATTTTTCTTTTCTCTCACCCACTTTATGCTTGAAAATGTTTTGAAATTGTAGGGGGCACGGGGGGCACTTTCTTGTCACTCCTGGGAATGAGAGGGCTAGCTAACAAGAGACGACTGTGAAAGTAAAAAATAGGAGTAAACAAAAATCAAGAGTACTGTGGGGATGTAAGAAAAATCTAAAGAACAAGAATAGCTACAATGACAAATATTTACACTGATTCCAAATAAGGAACGTGAAAAATTAGCTTCAATTTTGTGAAATTTTCAAACGACGCACAGTTTCAGACTCAGTTCCTTTAAACCCTTATTAAAAGATAAAGGAGACAGAAAAATAGCTTCGGTTATTTTCTTTGAAAGTTTTGATATACGAGGATCGCATTTAAGACTTGTCAATTTTTTACCTGACACCTTTCACAGCTATGAGGTCGGTCTTATCCTTTTTAGTTTACAATCTCACCTCCACTCCAGGACAGTCTTTCAGAACGTCATGACACCCACGCCAGTCGGACGACAGCAAATAGGAGTGAATGAGTCGTGGAGCAAGAGAGGAGACGAGATCTAACTCACCACAAAGTATGGCAACCTTCAATAAGGAAATATTCAGGGATTCAGTTGAGTAGAATAAAGAACGATGTCGCTAATTTGAAACAATAGGAAAAAGAGGGAGGGGGATTCAGATTATTTCCTTATCCCACGCTCGAGAAAATCGATTAATATAATCCTTTAATTGACGAACGGTCTAAAATTTTATTGTCTTTCTTTACCATTTATTCCATTTAAAAAATAACAAAAAAAAACTTCAAGAGTTGAAAGACAGATAATTTGGTGCCTAAAGCGCAGGAAACCGATTGGTTTAACATCTGATCGGTCGAGTTTCGAGTTTCTGGAGCCCGATCACAAAGCGACGAAAGGAAAACCAACGAAATCCTCAGTGGATTAGGCTCCAGCCTAATTTACAAATTGCTTAAAGGGGTTCGTGAAAACGATTTTATCAGCACAAGACAGGGTAAATTCATAATTAAGGAATATCATAAATTTCTATGTTTGTTGACTAATCAACCAATATATTTAATTTTTAGATATTAGAGGCCTGTCTAATTTACCTGAAGAGCTGTCCTCAGAGAAGGCTGATCGCCACGACGACACAACACCCTTACAGCATCAGATGATGAATGCACCGCCAAGTAACTAAAAACACATAGTTTGCCGCTAATTATCTTTTGTATAATTTGAATAGCAAGTTGCATATCTTTTCACTTCCGTTCGCTAACAACTTACCATTTAGCTGCTTGTTCAAAAGCATTGTCTGTTTCTAGTTTCCTGGCCCAAGTGCTATACAAGTCGAAAAGGACCGGGTCCAAGGGTGAAAGCTGCACCTTGGCCAATGCAATAGCTTCCCTGAAAAGAATAAAAGTTCAAAACTAACAGGTCCGTGGTTTCTATTCACATACCATTCTTAACAAATGAAGTACCTCCTTCTGAATACTACTAGATGTAACACATCTTATGTGTTTTTATCAAGTAAAAAAGAACTCGCCTAAGTTAAAAACCCGCTGTGCAAAATAATTGTTGCCAAACTCTTGGTTGCGTTCCTAGACCTTAACAAAAATTGACAGCATTGAAACTCTTGATACTCCTCAGAGCAGTTGAAGAGAGGCGACAAAGCGGCAGCCTGGGGCGTGCAAATCGTCCATAGGTAACTTTCATTGGCTGAAGATGCGACACTTGCATTTATTTTACCAGTTTTGTTTGCTTTTCAAAAATAACACGAGAATGTAGATCAGGTATAGGAAAAATGTAAAAAAAAAAAAAAAAGCCGTGGAAAAGCTAATATCTGCCTTAATGCATTTTTATATCACGCTCCATAAAAAGACAATGTATCTCTGAATGATGAGCTAAGTTAACAGTGCCTAAAATGAGGGGAAAAAAACACCGTGTCATGTCGGCGGGCACATGAAACACTTCACGGGTCATTCATTCAAAGATGATAAATTTTCAAAAAGTCGTTATTAAACTGCCATGGCAAATTCAGAAACCTCGAGGTTTCGAACGTAAGGCGCTATCATTTTGAAAAAATCATTTGTATCTTAAAACCCGTAGCAATAACCTCACTCTGTGGGGGCATCTTTCACAAAGGATAGTTGACGCTTAGCCCACCAAAATTGTTTGCGTGTTAAGTAACCAATATAGCAAGATACATACTATGCTAATTGCATCAAAATCATCCTGGTAATTGTTCTTGAGCAGTGAAATGTCAGGTCAAAGAGACTAATGACCACCAATTAGCTAAACGCGGAAACATTTATACATTATTAACATTTCACAAACTGTCTTTGATCCGTTACTGAGAGACAGTTGCCAAAGGTTATCGAAACGTTTCATGCCAGTATGTTGGATATTGACAAAGCATCCCAAGAACCTATCGTCCTAGACATGGGAAATCGTGACCCATCAGGCATTAACTCCTATCTAAAGGTAACTTTGTTTTTTCTTATAGTCTACTTTTAGAGTAACTTGCAGATCCACCGAAATAACTAAGATAATTCGCCAGGATACTGGAGTTACACGCAAGTGGCATGGAAACAAATTGTAGTAGGATGTATGTGACCAGAGTCCTGCTATTCCATTAGGTGGTATGGGGAGGGGAGAGAATCGCGTCTCGAGAAGTGAGAAGCAGTGTCTTGCAGCTGTAATAAAATCTCTTACAAAACAGAATTTTGCATTTGGTCTATTCACGAGTTTGCGTCATTCGATATTTACTTAGCAATTCAACGGCACTTTTATCATGAAGCAGAATCTAAAATCGAACATGATTTGTTTGTTGATGTGTCAGATGAAACCGTGAGATGCAATTGGATTCACTAAAAAACAAAACCCACCCTTGAACCAAGTCCAGCCTTTGCAACCTTACGCATGTCACGCCATACAAACTCCCTCCTTCCGTGTCAAGCTCGAACGACAGCTGCCATAGAGGCCAATATACCAAACTGTTCAAGATAACGTTACAACGTAGTCTTATCACTAAGCTTTGGGGATGGGTGTTAAAACCGCTTTCCGAGCATGGGGAGTAGGGCTAAATCGTGGAAGTTATTACAGTAATCCCAAAACTACCGAGTCTAAAAAACAACGGATCATCATAAACAGCTTCAATGATCCGATAACTCTAATCAAGCAAATTCACACATAGGCACAATGGAATGACAATTCGAGCGAGTTACCTAAGCTTTAAAAGAACTAATCGCATTTTTTTCTAGCCCCTATGGTTATTTGGGGCAGCTAGTACTCCTTTATATTCTTGTCAATTTATCATTATTTTTATCAGTATTTTTTATGTTGGGTACAAATAAAGTTGTTTTTGTTTACAACCTCTACTAAACAACGGATCCCACGGATTTTCTAGCGATGACAATGCTTCAGTATGGAAGTTAGTGCAGTTTTTCGTTCTTTCGTTTTGCTGAGTCACCTGTATTTTTCCACAGGTGGATTTCCCATATTTGA